GCCCACACGAGGGGCCTGGTGTGTCCATGGTAGACACCCAGCTGGCAAGTACTGCCTCTGGCTCCTTCCCAAAAGCCACCTGTGGCCATGTTTTATAGGCCAGGGTCAGCTCGAGAAGACCCAGGATAGAAGCTTGCACCATCGTTGAAAGTGGGCCAGAGTCCACTGGACAAGGGATTCCAGTTCTAGAAGAGGGGGTGTGGGTGTGGGCCTGGGGTGTGTATATCCCCCTAAGCCTGCAGACTCCCTACCGTTGGGCGAGAGATGGATGGGGGCCAGGCAGGGCCCCTGTGGCCCAGCTGAATGGTGGTGCTTCCCTGCACAGACTGAGGTGTGCAACTCAGGGACCTTCACTCCTTTGGTCTTCCACTTCCACCAGCCCTGCTCAGGGCCAAGTGCAGATAAACACCACTGGGCACGCCTATGTCCCACCGCCTATCACAGTGTCTGACATTTCAGTAACACTCTGCTCCTTTGGGCTTTTAGGACTTTTCTTTTTTTTTTTTTTTTTTTTTTTTTGAGACAGAGTCTCACTTTGTTGTCCAGGCTAGAGTGAGTGCCGTGGCGTCAGCCTAGCTCACAGCAACCTCAAACTCCTGGGCTCAAGCGATCCTCCTGCCTCAGCCTCCGAGTAGCTGGACTACAGGCATGCGCCACCATGCCCGGCTAATTTTTTTTATATATATATCAGTTGGCCAATTAATTTCTTTCTATTTATAGTAGAGACGGGGTCTCGCTCTTGCTCAGGCTGGTATTGAACTCCTGACCTTGAGCAATCCGCCCGCCTCGGCCTCCCAAGAGCTAGGATTACAGGCGTGAGCCACAGCGCCCGGCCAGGACTTTTCAATCTCCAACTCAACAAATGTTTGAGTTTCTTCCATACTCAAGACACCACAAAGAAAGCAAATATGAATAAGAAATCATTTTGACCCTCATTGAATAAACCAGGTTAAGATGGACACACATGGAGCCACCCCACCAGGCAGACTGTGATCAGCTACGGGGGCTCGGAGAGGGGGCTCTGGAAAGTCTACAAGAAGGAGGTGAAGTTCGAGATGCACTTTGAAGAACATATAAGAGGTGAAGGTGGGAGGAAGGATGTTCCCAGCAGCAACCAAAGGCACGGTGGCAATAGTGCGTGGCCTGCGTTCACAGAGGAGTCCTGTTTAGCTGGAGGTTAGGAAAGTTCCGGGGAGTGTGGTAGGCTCAGAGTGTAAAGGGGAATGCAGGGAGGAGTGTGTGCTGAATTCAGTAGGCAGTGGGAGCCATTGAAGGTTTGGGGGAAGGGCAGTCCTTTGATTAGAGTTAGGCTTTAGGAAGATTAACCTGGAGCTGCACGCAGGCTGAGGTAGAGGAAGTGGGAAAGCTAGTTGAGAGATGATTGTGTGATTTTTTTCCTTTTCGTTTCCTCTGTTACCTCCCTAGTAGAGACTGACGCTGCTTCTCATCCCAGTAAATGTGGATCTAGAAACTACATAAATAAATTGGCCATTGGTTGGATCAAGGTCTGGGTGAAAATAAATGGGAAGAGTTGACAAAAAGCCATTCTGGCTGATGTCAGAGATACTTCAGACAGATGGAATAGCTGGTTTGGATGGTGACCGGCGGGCAGTTTGAGGTAGGGTGTCAGGCAGGTCGTGTTTCAGATCTTGGTGGCATGCGGAAGCAGGGAAGCCCAGGAGACACTTGGAGATCAACATATGGAATTCAGGAGATGGTTTAGGGCTACTGAACGGATGAAGGAGTTTTCATTTAGAGTTGAAAGTTGGAAATTCAGGATGGAAACAGGTCTACAGAAAGAGAACGCAGCGGTAAGAAGAAAGAACTATGGCGGCACCTGCTTCAGGACCCCACGTTGGTAGGCAAATGTGTCTGGGAGAGGTGACACCTTCATCCCTTAAGATTCGACACCTGCCTTGAGCAGGAGCGTGTCCGGAGTGGAGAGAGGGACATTAGCAGGGACAGGGAGGGCCTCCCTCCATGCCCCGGGCCAGGTATTGGTGCGCAGCCGAGTCCCTGCAGAAACCTCAGAGCTGGAGGTGCCCGGCAACTCCCCTCCCTGTGGCCAGTGCAGACCTCCCTAGAAGCCTGGCATGTTTCCCCGTGGCACTCACCTGGCAGGAAGTAAAGCGACCAAAGCCAGAGGCCCATGCTTCCGTCCAGAGCAAGGTCCCGTCCAGGAGCCCCCGGAGAAGGGGGGCAGAGACCCGCCGCTCGCCCAGCAATCCTTCTCAGCCCGGAGCGCCAACGAGCCTGCGTGCCCCCGAGAGGAACGAGGCTTGAAAATGAGGAAATGACAACCTGGCATGTTTGCTAGCTCGCCTTAAGCTAAAACAGAACACGGGCAAACCACAGCGGAAGTCAGGAGTTGAGAAAACATGTTGTGTTCAGTGAGAATGGGTCACCCGGTTCAAAGGGCCTCTAGGAAGTTCCTGAAGACTCTTAGCGACTTCCAGGCCTGAAGTTTCTTTGCCTTGGCACTTTTTCTCAGCGTGGCCTCCCACGCTGCATATTAATATATATATATATATATAATTATTTTTATTATTATCAGCTCCCCACCTGGGAAAGGCTATGGACAGAAGCTTGGCCCTGAAGTCAGGAGACACTAGATGGAGTCCTCGCCAGTCACCAGGGAACTCATATTCACAAATGTTTTACGTACCCTATGGGGTTACTGTATTTTGAGAAATTTACTACTTTTCTCTGAGCTGTGATTTCTGTATCTAGAACATAAACGAAGGTGGGAGTAGCTGATCCTTGGCCTCCCTCCTGCAGAACATCGATCTTCATCCCTGATCTCCCCGGCTGTCTCCGTAAGGGGCTGCCCTCCGCCAGGGGCCCAGGCCAGGAGTCGGGAATGGCAGGTCAGGCGGCAGCTCTGCCTGAAGTCACAGCAGCTGGGCAGTGCGGGACCTCAGGACCCTGAGGGATCCAGGGCGAGGCTCATTGCCTGGTGAAGGGGGACGTGTTGGGGCCACAGGGTGTCACGGAAAGAGCTTTGGATTCAAGTCAGGAGACCTGAGTTCTTGTCCTGGCTTGGCACCTGCCGGCTTTGGGCAGGCTCCCGTGGCCTCTGTTTTCCCATCAGTGAGCTAGGGATGGCCGCTGCCCTGCCGGCCTCGCCTGGCTCTCTAGAGAGAGAGCCCAGCAGAAACCACGTGCGTGGAGGGGCTGCAGACCCTCTAACATGGAGACGCACAGGCTGCTACTTAGCGGAGGATGTTTCCTTCCTGGGCCTCGGTTCCCGGGGCCCCGCGCCCAGGTGCCACAGCCTCTGGTGCCCGTGCCGGGCTCAGGCTACTCCCACGCTGTCTCTGGGGGGCTCTTGCTAACGGAGCGTCCGGGCTCCCCGCTGGTTGCATTGACCACTCCCCGCCCGCCCCCGCACGCCGGGTTTGTCACATGCTCTCCAAAACACACCACGACAACATCCGGGGTGGAAGTGGAGTGCGGGGCGCTGAGCAGGTGCAGAGGAAGCGAGTGTGGGGGCGGGCGGCCTGCCCTGTCCCCTCCCTCGCTGGGTCTCCCGGGGCCCAGGGCAGCTGTGGCTGTGATGTCTTGTGTCAGAGGGCAGGCTCGGGACCCTGTGGTGGGAGTGACTGTGGGCCAGAGGTTTCGGCTGGGATCGGCTTCACCCTCCCCTGCTCAGAGGGCTCTTCCCAGCGCCCTGCAGCTGTTGCACAGCTGGGCTCTGACATTCACTAGGCTCCAGGCCTGGGACTGCCCTGCAGAGAGCGGGTGGAGAGAGAGAGAGAGAATACGAAGGAATGAATGGGATATGTATGTGACTGGGTGTGTGAGTGTGAACACGTGTGAATTCTGGGTGTGTGATGTGTGAATGTGTGGCGTGTGACATGGGAGAGCATGGACGTGTGCGTGTGTCTTTGGAGGTCAGGGCTCGGCCGTGCCGAGGCGGGAGCCTGCCAGGCAGTGCAGAGGGTGTGCGGGAGGACCGCGGGCAGCTGAGATTTCCGTGAAACCTGCAGCCCAAATGCACCCCTTGTTTTTTGTTTTGGTTTGTTTTTTGAGACAGAGTCTCACTTTTTTTTTTTTTTTTTGAGACAGGGTCCACTTGTTGCCCAGGCTACAGTGAGTGCCGTGGCGTCAGCCTAGCTCACAGCAACCTCAAACTCCTGGGCTCAAGCGAATCTGCTGCCTCAGCCTCCCGAGTAGCTGGACTACAGGCATGCAGCCACCATGCCCGGCTAATTTTATATACATATATATATAATATTAGTTGGCCAATTAATTTATTTCTATTTATAGTAGAGAGCGGGGTCTCACTCTTGCTCAAGCTGGTTTCGGAACTCTCTGCTTGAGCAATCCGCCCCCTCGGCCTCCCAATGCTAGGATTACAGGCGTGAGCCACTGCGCCCGGGCCTCAGATCTCACTTTGTCCCGCGGGTAGGATGTCGTGGCATCAGTCTAGCTCACAGCAACCTCAAACTCCTGGCTCAAGCGATCCTGCCTCAGCCTCCCGAGTAGCTGGGACACAGGCATGCGCCACTATGCCCAGCCCATTTTTTCCTATATATTTTTAGTTGGCCAATTAATTTCTTTTTATTTATAGTAGAGACTGGGTCTCGCTCTTGCTCAGAGCTGGTCTCGAACTACTGACCTTGAGAGCAATCTGCCCGCCTCAGCCTCCCAGAGTGCTAGGATTACAGGCGTGAGCCACCGCGCCCGGCCCCGGTTGGGTTGTTAAGAGCAAGAGTTAGAGGTCTGAGGACTGTTGGTAGGAGGTGAATGTTCTGGAGTTGGAGTGGATCAGAACTTCCAGACCTGAGCCTGTCCAGTGTCTAGCTTCCAGGGTCACCTCAACTCAGGGGTTGAGGCCCAAGGAAGGGAAGGCTGACCCCTGGCAAAATTGTGAAATTTACCGTCCTTATTCTCTTTTCTCTTTTTTTCCTGTCTAGACTTGATTTCAGACTCACAGGGCTGCCTCAGTGCCCTGGCACGCCTGCTCGCAGGAGAATGTCCGATAGGCAGGGAACTCAATGGGCACCAGAAGGGATGATCTTAGTGGGAAAAATTCAGAGCTCAGTGACAGGCAGGCGGAGGGAATAAGTAATCCCAGATACGCCAGGAAGTGTTCTGAATCCCTCAGGCGTCCTCGTTCACTCTCTTAGGCTCTGTCATCCTCCCAGTTAGAGACGGGCTGAGACGAGTGTTTCTCGGAAGGCTATTGTGAGGGTCACACGGGTCAGCGTCACGAGGGACGTAGCACACAGCCTGGAACACAGGGCGCAGTGGACGTCGGCCATCGGCCCTGGGATGGAGGTTGTCACCATGCGTTGTTAGGTGACTGCATTACTCTGTGTCGGCCTCCATGTGGTTGGCCTCCAGTCCAAAGTTGAGCCTCTCCAAATGGAGGCCCTGCATCCTGGGGTGGCCCTCCCCACGACACACGCTGCCGTCCGCGGTGACGGACCGTGAGGGTCCCCTTTCCTGGTGACTCACCCTGAAGCCACCCTCCCCTCCAGGCGGAGCACCTGGCTCAGGCATCCTGCAGTTCCCTCCTTCCCGGACCTGCGGCCACAGGCTCCGGAGCAGCAGGGCCTCAGAAGCATCGACCTTCACGATCAGCCTGCTTATGACTTTCTTCTACAAGAAATGGCAGGACTTTGATGACTAAGATTTCTTTCCTGAACATGGCCACGTTCCTGTTGGTAGCTCTGAGATTAAAACCCCAAACACATGGGAATTTTGGATGGACTTTAATGTGATTTATCAGCAAACCCCGGGATTTTAGAATATTCATGTCCCTGTATCTAGGACAAAGATTTTTGACTCTAGGGGAGTGGATTGGCTATCCCTTGCCACTTTTTTTTTTTTTTTTACCAGCCTTGGAAAAGAAGCTCTAGAACTCCTTGGCTCCTATGCCTGGATGATCTCCAAGGCTGCTTAGCTCCAAGGCTGGCTGGGGGCCACTCGTCTCAGTCTTACACCGTCTTTCTCCAAGTGCCCACTGTTCACTAAGATATGTAGCCTTTCTGCGATGATCTCTTGTTTTTTGAGACAGAGTCCCACTCTGTTGCCCAGGCTAGAGTGAGTGCCGTGGCGTCAGCCTAGCTCACAGCAACCTCAGACTCCTGGGCTCAAGTGATCCTTCTGCTTCAGCCTCCCTAGTAGCTGGGACTACAGGCATGTGCCACCATGCCCGGCTAATTTTTTCTATATTAGTTGGCCAATTAATTTCTTTCGATTTATACTAGAGACGGGGGTCTCGCTCTTGCTCAGGCTGGTTTCGAACTCCTGACCTTGAACAATCCGCCTGCCTCGGCCTCCCAGAGTGCTAGGATTACAGGCGTGAGCCACCGCGCCCGGCCTATCTCTTGTTATTTTTATCGCACAAACTCCCTAGTAGAGTTAATCATTTTAGGGAGGCCAGGCGTGGAGTGGAAAATTCAACTTGTTTATCCGCCTTGGGGACCAACTTCATAGACCAAAGCATGGTCAGTTCCTCTCTCTCTGCTGTTGAATAGTCTTAGGAGAGTTATTCTGTCATGAGTCTTTGGAAAAGTCTTGAACAAACTAGAGATCCTTTTTTAAGCTTTATAAAACAAAATCAATGGCTACAAACGTATTCCTAACCACAGTTGGGCCTTATTAATCTATGGTCATATCGTTACATAATGGGCTTTTAAAGAGGAAAAAAAATCGAGATAATTTAAGAACTTGGCGAAGATTTCCTTGCCCTCAGATGTTTAAGTAGTTCCCTGAATACTTGCTGGCCACTGATCATTGTTATCCGTCTATCATCGTCAGTACTGCAGTTGCTAGTTACTCCCCGGTACTGGCTGAAGAACGTCCACCTGAAATTCATGTCCACCTGGAACCTGTGGACCAGCTTCCCAAGGGTTTCTTACTGCATAAGGAGCAGGTGGACTTTGGACAGTACATTATTACACTTCCTTATATCCGTCAGGAATAACGTAAGATTGCCTGTGCCGTCAGTAACATCTCTTGGCTGTCGATTCTAGGGACTGGGGCAGGCTACACGAGCTCAGGATTGGCTTGCTGGTCACCAGCCTTCCTAGGAAGTTGCATCTTAATCCTCTACGACAGGCGCCGCCCTTTGGTTGGTCAGAGAGCAGCATCCTAGGGGGTAAAACAGTGGTAGGTCCTGACACACCTTGTAATTCTGCTTCTTCTGGCTGGGCGCGGTGGCTCACGCCTGTAATCCTAGCACTCTGGAAGGCCGAGGAGTTGGATTGTTCAAGGTCAGGAGTTCGAAACCAGCCTGAGCAAGAGCGAGACCCCCATCTCTACTATAAATAGAAAGAAATTAATTGGCCAACTAAAAATATATAGAAAAAATTAGCCATGTATGATGGTGCATGCCTATAGTCCCAGCTACTCGGGAGGCTGAGGCAGGAGGATCGCTTGAGCCCAGGAGTTTGAGGTTGCTGTGAGCTAGGCTGACGCCATGGCACTCTAGCCCGGGCAACAGAGTGAGACTCTGTCTCAAAATAAAATAAAATAAAAATAATTCTGCTTCTCCTGCAATCATTTGCTGTCATTCCAAGAGAAGCTAGACACACCTCGCCATCACAGAGAAGAGAGAAATAAACATTCCTGATGACCGTCTCTGCTGGCTGGGGAGGAGCCCAGGCTCTGACCATGTCATGCCTGGGATTGGGAGTGGGCACTGCAGTCGGCGGGCTGGAGGGGAGACCGGAGGAGGACTGAAGTCTGAGTTCCAGGCAGGGGCAGGCTCGGGAAGCACATGGCAACCAAGGAGTTATATTCAAGGCTCAGGTGGGACCGAAGGTTCAAGTCAGGCAGGTTGGCAGCCTGGGGAGACCTCTCTCCCAGAGAGAACTGTCCACGCACAGGCCCTGCGGAACAGACTCAAGATAAGATAGGGGAGCAAGCTGCCAGTGGGCAGTTTGGACATTCCTTATAGGATGTGACATGGTTTAGTGCCAGAACCTAAAAACGATCTCAATGGACAAGGGGGTCCTTTGTCTAATAATCCCTGTCCACAAAAGAGACTTTGGATTCAACTAGTCTAAAACCTAAGTTATCATTTAACCAGCTTCTAGTTGGTAATCTTGTAGAAAGAGTTTATTCATTTGGTTACCTCCGTTTTGATTAGCGGCCTCTTGATCTTGGAGGGTACCGCAGAAAAGTATGAGATCAGGGTTAAGTGTTCCACTTATGCTTTACCAAGATTATTATTCTTTTTTAATGCTCAAGAAGAGTACTGGCTGGCTGGGCGAGGTAGCCCACGCCTGTAATCCCAGCACTCTGGGAGGCTGAGGCAGGAGGACTGCTTGTGCTCACGAGTTCAAGACCAGCCCCAGCAAGAGCCAGACCCTGTCTCCGCTAAAATAGAAAAATTAGCCGGGCGTGGTGATGCATGCCTGTAGTCCCAGCTCCTCAAAAGCTGAGGCAAGAGGATCGCTTGAGCCCAGGAATTTGAGGTTGCAGTGAGCTATAGTGACGACACTGCACTCTACCCAGGGTGACAGAGTAAGACTGTCTCAAAAAAAGAGCACTGGTTACAGCTATTTTCAGTTTATTCCACGATTCCTCTACAAATAGTCTTAATTATGTTCTATGGCAAAGAACTTTCACTGGAATGGACACAAACTCTTCCCCTATCGAAGGTAACCGTGGTTCCACCTTTAGGCACTCTCCCAGCCCCCTCTGCCCAGCCTGGGAGGTGGGGGGACCCTTTGGTTTACAGACACATCCTGGGGTGCCTAGAAGTGGGACCAAAGCAAAGTGCTCGGAGAGAGCTGTCTGGGAGACAGAGTTGCGGGGAACAAATGCAGCCTGAGCCTCCTTGGTGGCAATCATTGTCTTTAATTATTCATTAAATCACATTTCTGATTCGTTAGCAGATGCCAGCTTGTAGGTGCTGGTTGAAAGGCAGAACTCAGAGGGAAAAAGACATCAAACTTTAGCTCTTTGGAGAGAACAGCCCCTTCCTGGCACCATCAAACACCTTCTTTTCTTCCCTTCTACTTGGAACTTGTCAAATATGAGGGGTTATGAGGGTTTGGCCGTTCTTTAGTCTTAGGTCCATGTGAGTGGCAGGAAGGGAAGAAGGGTGGTCTTCCCTGGAGTGGGGCCTGGGAGAGATCAGTCTTCATTTCATTTTTCCCTTCTCCCTCCTCCTTCTTCTATTGTAAGACTCTGCCTCCAAGGGGGCAGGGGCTCTCGTGGAGAGTCCTCCGGCCAAGAGGACAGGAGGATGCTATATCTGGCTTATCTCACTGGGCACCCTTGAGAAAAATGTTTCACCTCCCGGGACCTCAGTTGTCTCACCTGTGAAATGGTAGGAATGTGGGCATATAACTACTTGTGTGGGTGCCCGTCGAATGTGACCCCTAATGCCTTAGGGCTCCAGGTAGTTGACGATGTCTCCCAAGAAGGGCAGAGGGGAGCACACCTGGTGAGGATTTCAGGCCTCGGTGAGCAAAAATACCCTGAGAGAGGGTTCTTTCCGTGATGCTTACAGAAATGCTGTAGCGGGGTTTGTGGCGTGTCTGTCTCAGCATCTAGCAGGGCACCTGGGTTCTATTAAGTATTCAAACACGTCTTTTGAATGAAGGAAAGAAGAAGAGAGAAAGGAAGGGTGGGTGGGATGGAGTGGAGGGGAAAATCCCATTGACATCCCATGATAAGGGTGCAGGGAGGCTCTAAATTTCTCTTCTTTGTGAAATCAGCTCCTCTGGGGGAAGCCTCTTGCTTTAGGGAGGCCCCACGAGGACCTTATCCTCTGCAACTTGGGGTCTCCCACTAGAAATCAGCTGCAGGTGGGACTCCTCCCACCACCCACCCCCAACAGGGACAATCGGGCCAGGCTTGGAGGGACCAGCACGCCTCTGAGGACAGGTGGGAAAAGCCCAGGTGGGTCAGAGTGCAGGCAGTGGAGTCCCCTGGAGTGAGGGCCCCAGGATCACGGTGATTCTGCAGGTGATTGGCACAGGTGGAAGGAGAGGCAGCGGGCGGCCTAGACCTCCGCCGGCTTGTCCTGGGCCTCGGTGGCCACGTTGCTGGCCTGGAGCAGGAAGGCGGAGTAGGCCATCTCAGCTTCCTCCTTGGACGACTAGGGGCAACAGGAGAGAGGTCAGTGCTGGGGGCGTTGGCTCAGCGGGTGGAGCCGGGAGCGAGGGACGCACTCAGCATCCTGAACTCAGGACCGTGACCCGAGCACCACACGCCTGCGTGGCCCACTGGCCTCAGCCCAGCCCCCGCACTCACCGTGAGCGACAGATTGTGAGAAGTGGAAAGTCGCAGCCTCTAAAAATATCCCCCCTCTGTCTCACTACCTCCTTCCAACAGGCGGAGTGGAACCACCTCTGTCGCCTGGGCCTGTCCCCAGGAACTGTGCCCACGCGGAGCACGGGCAAGGTGGCCTGGCCTAGGCCAGTGTCAGCTGGGGCGGTCTATGCTTCTCTTTCCTACCCACCCAGAGAGGGACCTTTCAGCACTGCGAGTCCCCAAAGGCCGTCTCCAGGACCAGCTCATTCGCCTAACTGCGCTACATGCCTGGCCCTCTGCTGTTTCCGGGGAAAGTGGGTGCGGCACAGAACACTGACCAAACGCCAACCCCTGGGCCTGCGGGCGGCGCGAGAGGGTAACATATAGCTCAGAGGCAGGTCTGGTTGGATTTCAAGTCACCTGGCCCTCGGTCCAGGCGGGCAGGGGCTTCCAGTGACTGTCAAACCGCCCGCCGTGAGCAAATGTCTTTCTTTCCGGCCCAGGCCAAAGGCTGGCCCTGAGCTAACCCTCAATCGAGGATGGGCGGCTGGGGGTCCAGGGTCCCCCAACTCGGGAAGAGCACCCACTTAATCGCCAGCACGTTTCATCTTCCCGCCTGTGACTGTGTCTTTCGTGTACTCGCCTTCCTCACTCCCCAGTCTCGCTCCTTCCTGCAGACTCACAGCCTGTAAATGCAACTAACTCTCCTCCTTCCTCAGCCTCACCCGCACGTCCACACCCCACAATCGGCAAGATACGCCTCTCCCTCAAAAAGTCCCCCTGAAGTCTATTAGATACCACCACCTTCCCTGTTCTGGGATCAGCCCCTGTGTTGAGGTAGTTCTTTCTGGTGTCTGACTGCAGTCCCTCATGCTGCATTTTTTTGCCACACAGTGGGGCCCCCTTTTCCCTCCTCATCCTCACCCTTTTTGCCTTCTTGGGTTCTCCGGTCTCCGTGGTGCTCTCGTTGGTCGTGCTCAGCTCTGTGTAAAGAAAGGGGGGTTGTTAGCCCTTGATAGGGGACAGGAGGCTCCCTATTCCCACCCTAGTGGTGGGGTCAGGTCCAGTTCCCGCTTTCCCAGGGACGAAGCATTCCCTTGAGTGGGGGACATACCATCTTTCCCTTCGAGGGACGTCTCCTGGGTGACCGGAGAGGCTCCCATGTTGTCATTGGCTCCAAATTCCCTGGAATTCTCGAAGTCTGACATGCTAATGTTTGTCCTGTAGCTTGCGATGGAGACCCGGTCTGTCGGGGAGGAAGAGGAGTTGGTGTAGGGCCAGAGCCCCGGGCCTGGGAGACCAGGTGGTGCCCTCCTCTCACGGGGCGGCTGAGGCCAGCGGGCCTCTGGTAGCTCCCTCGACTCTGCCCAGGCAGAGGGAAAGGGCCTGTCTCCTCCCCAGGCCCTTGTCCTGGGTAACCGAGACACGATAATCCCTGACCTTAGTTTAGCCCTTCATTTGGTCCTCACGTCAGCTCTGTGAGGTGGTTATTATCATTCCTGCCTTGAGCCCTGGGGAAACTGAGGCACATGTAACAGGGACGCGCCAAAGTCACACAGCCAGGGACTTATCAGACTAGGTCGAAGGAAGCCCTGGTCTTGCGAATCCTGGTCTGCTCGTCCTGGCGGTCCTGCCCCTGACCTTTCACCCTGAGCTAGCGGAAGGGACGGCAGCACCGAATTTAAGTGTTGGGTGTGTGTGGGTTTGGCATTCCTCACGCTGCTTTTTCTCAGAATGCTTGGTTTTGAAAAGAGGACGGCAGCCTCCTCTGAGGGCGGCTGGGCGGGGACTGCGGGCTCGGGCTGGGGGCAGGAGGTGGGGACTTACCCACGTTCTTCCTGTGCCGGGCTCTGGCCACCCCGACAGCCACAGCGCCCAGCGCCAGCACCAGGCCCAGGGGCACCAGGGTGGACAGCAGCACCTTGGAACTCCCGCCTTGCCCCTCAGAGCTGGAAGGAGGAGCAAGTGAGTTAATCAGTGGACCGGACAGCTGGGCGCCCCCAGGATGCGCTTGGCTACCTTCCCTCCCCGGTTCGCCCACTGTGTCCTCCTGATCCAGCTCCCTAGCTCTGTTCTTCTAAGGAGCCTGCCAGACACGGCAAAGGCCAGGACCCGGCCTGCGCTGCGCTGCGGGCTTGGAACGTTGCGCTGAACTGCAAATGCCACCGCGGCCCCGGGAGAAGGGCAGCAGGTGCCACGGCACCCTCCGCTGCACAAGCAGAGCAGTAAGGGCTCCCTCCCCCGCTGTCCAACAGGTGCACAGGCCTCCCTCCTTGGACCTGGTGGCCCAGCCCCGGGTCCTCAGCCTCCGGGGCGTTCTCCGAGCGGGCAACCCCGAATCCGTCCTCACCCGCTGGCATCCGCAGATGCTCTGCTCCCCTCGGCTTGGTCTTCCACATCCTCCACCACTCTTTCCTCGGCAAAAAGCCTGGGACCCTGGACGGCTCTGTTCTCAGTCTCGCTGGCACTGGCCTCTAACAGGTCCTCACCGGGAGGGACGTTGGCGTTCTCTGGGCTGCCGCTGCGGGACCCTGGAGCAGAGCGGGGCAGGGGCTGGGTCACGGGCCTTTCTCCAACTTCTTACTCCTTGAGGTTAAGGAGTCTAAGGAGTAGATTTCACTGGGAATCACGGGGGCAGGATTAGATTTCAAGGCTGTTGGGGTGGAAGCCAGGATGACAGAAACCGAGCGGGGAGGACCTTCTCCAGCGTGCCACGGAGGCTCTCTGCCCCGTTACTGCCAAATGCATTCCCACCGTCCAGGCTCTGTGCCATAGATCCAGCCGTGCGTGAAGGCTGACCCATCACGCAGGGCTGGGGAGATTTTTCCAAGCTTTGAAACCCTGCCCCAGGCATCCCGACTGCAGCGCTGGGTGTGACAGTGCTGTCCCTCATAGTAGCCTGGCAGCACCCCCCGCACCCCCCGCCCCACAAAGAGAGCCATACCAGAGAGATCCGGACACAATAGCATTTCCAGGGGGACTAAAAATATCATCATTAGGCCGGGTGAGGTGGCTCCCGCCTGTAATCCTAGCACTCTGGGAGGCCGAGGCAGGAGGATCGCTCAAGGTCAGGGGTTTGAGATCAGCCTGAGCAAGAGCGAGACCCCGTCTCTACTAAAAATAGACAGAAATTAGCTGGACAACTAAAAAATATATAGAAAAAATTAGCCGGGCACAGTGGCGCATGCCTGTAGTCCCAGATACTCAGGAGGCTGAGGCAGGAGGATCGCTTGAGCCCAGGAGTTTGAGGTTGCTGTGGGCTAGGCTGATGCCACGGCACTCTAGCCTGGGCAACAGAGTGAGACTCTGTATCAAAAAAATAAAAAATAAACAAAAATACAAAAATAAATACAAAATAGAATACAAAAAATCCAAAAATTTAAAATACAGAATAAAAATAAACAAAAATAAAAAATAAACAAAAATAAAAATAATACAAAATAAAATACAAAAAATACAAAATAAAAAATAAAAATAAACAAAAATAAAAATAAAAAAATAAACAAAAAATAAAAAAATAAACAAAAAATAAAAATATCCTCATTATGGACAAAGCATTTCATGTAACATTTTTAAAAGGCTTGAAATGCAAGCTTACTGGATGTGGTTGCCTTCATTTTCCTGAGCAGACCTTGTAAGTGAAGGTAGGTATCTGGCTCTCTTCTGAGAGCAGGCTTTGGCAGAGGGAGGGAGGATGAATATATTGCATATCACAGTGACTCTGAAAGTTCTATAAATAGAAGAATCTTTCTAGATCTAGAGGGGACTTCAGTCTGGTTTGAAAGGACAACTATGGGACTTGTCTTCATGCTGAGGCTCAACAGCAAACTATTTTGACTTAGTTCGTGTATTCATTTGGGATGCCCTTTTTGGAAGGCTCAGTGACACTTTGTGGGGCTAAAATCTCCCCCTCCCTCTTACTTCCGGCCTCTTATAGCCGAACCAAGGGCCAGCCCTGGTCTGAGGTCCCGTGGGGCACTGGCCTGGCCGTCAGAGACTCACCCTGTACCTTCTCCTCAACTGCCACGTAGACAGCGGCAGTCTCTCCATACAGCTGGCCCTCCTTCACGCCACACCAGTACCAGCCCTCGTCCGCCTTGGTGACCTGGTTCAGGGTTAGGGAGATGACCTTGCTGTTCTGGTCGCAGTTCACAAAGGCTTGGCTGGGTCCTTCGTCTTGGGTGGGCAGGGCCTGGCAGCCGCTGTTGCTCCACTTGCACCAGTATTTTTCGTGGGAGTAGAATTTGCACGGGAAGTGGCAGGGCAGCTTGAGGGACCCTCCCAGCACAGCAGTGACATTCTCTGGTACCTTGAGGTTCGGTTTTCCTGGAGCAGGGAGGGAAGAAGAAATAGACACAGAAGTTGGCACCTGGAGATGCTGTAGGGAAGATGCTGCGACTCTAGTGGGCACCTTTGCCCATATTTCCTCTTTGGAGAGCACTGCAAATAAATGCATTATGCTGAATACCTAAGAAATGGAGGTATGCACTTAAGGGATAATTATTGTTGATAACCTCCGTGGTCAATCCAGAACCTATCACAGAACAAGAGCCCTGCACATCGACTTCCGTTTGCTTCCATTCCTCTTCCTTCTCCTCTAGACTCGAGCTACCTTCAATGCTCGACTTCAGCTAATGCAAAAGAGGCCAACGTTTTTGCTCGTAGGAGGTGCTATGTGTGGTGTGCTCATTGGAAGAGCATGGGGTGCTTCTTACAGGTATGGAAGAGTGACCTCTGGCCAGGTGGGCTCCTTCCTGAGGCCCTGTGCCATCAGCAAGGATGTGGGTGACAGGGGAGGGGAAGGCGGTGGGCCGGGGCTGTGCTGCTGGCTGGGGAGGTCCATGAGGCTTTCTCCCGTCCCTCTGGCCCCAAGTCAGCTCCTACCTTCAATAACCTTGAGCTCCATAGAGGTCCTCCAGCGAATGTCGCGGTTGGTCAGACACCAGTAGAAGCCGGCGTCCTTGGCGGTGAGCTGGTTGAGGATGACGGTGTAGGTGCCGTTGCCCGGCTCCTCGTGCAGCACCAGCCGGCCCTTGTACTGCTCCTTCACCAGCCCCTGGCTCTCCACCAGCAGGGGGCAGCGGCCGCTGCTCTCCGCCCCGTCCCAGCGGCACCAGTACTTGCTCGCGCTGCCTTCCTTCGGGTTGTAGGGGCAGAGCACAGACACGGAGCCTCCTGTCACGCCCTTCACCACGGAGGGGCTCTGGGGAATCGTGGTCTCTGGAAGCACAGACACAGGTGGGATGGAAGGGCGGCGACACTGGGACAACCTGAGCAGCGGCTTCCCCGGATCTCAGCCAGGGCGGGCAGCGAATCACCTCAGCATACTCAGAAAATGAAAAAGAACTTCCTTCCCTTCCCTTCCCTTCCTTCCCTTCCTTCCCCTTCCCTTCTTCCTTCCTTCCTTCCCTTCCTTCTTCTTCCCTTCCTTTCCTTCCTTCCTCCTTCCTTCCTTCCTTCTTCCTTCCTTCTTTCCTTCCTCCCTTCCTTCCCTCCCTTCCCTCCTTCCTTCCCTCCTCCTCTCCTCCTTCCTTCCTTCCTTCCTTCCTTCCTTCTTCCTTCTTCCTCTTCCTTCTTCTTCTCTCTTCTCTTCTCTCTTCTCTTCTCTTCTTCTTCTCTCTTCTCTTTCTTTCTCTTTTAGTTGTTTGGCTAAGTTCTTTCTGTTTATAGTAGAGACAGGATCTCGCTCTTGCTCAGGCTGGTCTCGAACCCCTGAGCTCAAGCGATCCTCCCGCCTCGGCCTCCCAGAGTGCTAGGATTATAAACACGAGCCACTGCGCCCGGCCAAAAATGAACTTTCCTACTGTCACACCAGGACCAGAGTCCAGTGACCTCCACCATCTACCTGGGTACCTTGTTCCTTCTCTTCACCTTATTCTGGGCAGAAAATGGAAGGCGTGTAAGGAGAGAGTGTGAGCTCTTCTCCATTGGCTTCTTACAAAATCACCCTCTACATTGGTTTTTGTCTGTGTATTAGCTCGTCCTACTCCAATAGCCAGACACATGTTTCCAAATGAAGGAAACACATTTAGAATGCTGTGATTTAAAATAGAAACTATGTGACACAGAGAAGTTTTATTGTTGCAGACTTGCCACAGACATAGGCTTTGGGGGAAAAAAATCATGGAGGACCCTGAGGGGCATCTCAGAGAGATGGACAGCCATCCCCAAGCAGCTAGAGCTGAGGTCCAGAGAGAACCCAGGGACACTGAGGGTGCATGGGACTATGGTGGGGACCGAGAGCCAGCTGTAGAGACCCTGTGCAGGGAACACGAGCCCCGCACAGAAAAGTCACAGGGACGGACACTTTGGACTGCAAGTCCTGGTCTGCTGCTTCTCCTGAAGGCAGCTCCATGCGGAGTGCTCCAGTGGGGAAAGGAGCAGGGACTTCATTATGCCACCGTGTCCCGGCTCACCAGAGCAGAGCTGAGTGAGCCAGTTGTGTGGAGGGAAAAATAATCCTAAGAGAGGTGGGCGTGCAAAAAATGCCTTTCCCCCGAGCAAGACGAGGCACCCATCTTGCTCAGGGCCGCGGGAAGGGACAGAGGCCGCCATGGCACTGAAACCCGCACACTCTACCGAGTCTCGCCTCAAGTGGGAGCTTCACTCTCCTCTTACGAAGCAGGGACAGCCGTCAGAGGGCCCTTAGGAGCTACCACGAGGCAGAGGCTGATTTTCCTCTCTCTCCTCTCCGGCCGCCTGGGCTGCATCCAGCTCAGGGCTCGTGGGGAGCGGGCACTGTCGACTGACTGATGGACGTTAGTGGACAGACCCAGGGAGCTGAGCGAGCCTCCCCCCTGCTGGGCGGCCCCACCCTTGCCCTCTCCCCTGTCTCACCCTCGTTGACGAAGAGCTGCCACGCCTGGATGGGCCAGCCGTCCTGCAGCACCCCGTCGGAGTGGGCTCCGCACACGTAGCGCCCGGCGTCCTCCTTCCTCAGGCCTGTGATCAGCACATTGAAGAGCCTGCCCTGGTCCCTGGGGGTGAGCAGGATCCTGCCCTCAAAGGACGAATCCCTCTGGCCCAGGGTGTTGATGACCACATCGCAGGATTCCCCCTTGGTTACCCGGCACAGAAATTTGGCCACATTGGCCGCCTCGGGGCCCGGGGCACAGTCAAAGGACACTGAGCCCCTCAGGTCCCCATAAACCAGCTCAGGCACGGGCTCAAGCACTTGGAGGTCAACGTTCTTCATTTCCGCTGTGGGACCCTCCCCGACCTTGCAGGTGTACTTCCCAGCATCGCTGAGCCTGAGCTGCTTGATGATGACGCTGAATGTTGATTGATCAGTGCCCTGAATCGGAAGGCTTATTCTGCCACCATATTCGCTGCTCACATAATTGGTGTCGATGACGGTCACGCAGTGCTGGCCTCTCCACTTGCACAAGGACCTCTTCAGGTGACCATTCGTGGACGTCAAAGGGCATTTGATGGTCACTGTTCTGCCCACGTCTACTGTGTAGACATCAGTGTCTTTTAGGAGCCCAGGATCTGCAGGACGGGGAGCAGGGGGCCAAGTTGTGATTCCATTCTCTTACAACATAGAGCTATTTGCTATTCCCAGCAGGAGTCTGGCTGGGCCTACACCTGGAACACCCTCTCTCCCGGAAGGACACTCTCAGAATATGTCTTCCAAGGTCCTGCTTGACCACCGCCTCCTCCTCCATGAAAACTTCCCCCAGCTGGTGCCAATCTCGCCCTCCTCTGTGCTCTCTCAATGCTTACGCCCGCTTCACGTGCTACATGCCATGTAGCTACAGTTAATGTTGTTCTCCATGGACTGGAGGTCCCCTGAGGGCAGAGACACGTTTTTCTCATGTGGGACGCCCTTGCTGTGACAAGCACAATGCCTATATGCAGGAGGTTCCCAAATTAATGTGTGTTGAAATGAATAGAACGAATGTAAGTGCAGGGTGGTGGATCTCCATGTATTGCAATAGAATCTTCTGAAAGTTACAAGTCCAAACACGGAATGGGCTGCCTTGCTATGCATGAGTTTCTGCTACACAGCGTGTAATCAGAGGCTGCATACCCTACCCGTCGAACACAGTGGTCTTCTGGACGCCCAAATAGAATGAACCCTAAGCTCTCTTCAGCTCTTAAGATTCTGTGGTTTTAAGAATCTCCATCACCACCTGAATGACCGACCTCTTCATTTAGTCCACAGACAATCGTATGCACACCCCAAAGGAGCAAAACGCATCTTTGGGAGTCCCTCCAAATTTCCTCCCTTAAGACTGCCTTCTCTTTTATGTCGCCCACGACTATCTAAAATGCCCTCATTGCTAAATCCTTGTCAGAAAGAGCTTTTCCCCTTTTCTCCTTCTTCAATTAGAGCAGGCCTCTTCACTGACCCATCCTGGTCAGACCTTTGGGATCCTGGTCTTTGGTCAAGAACTGATCATCTAATTCATGCCGACAGGGCTGATGGACTAAAAAGATGTGCATTTTTAAAGATGCCTTCTGGTAGCCCAAGCCTTGATCTAAAGGTTTCGCATGAATGGCAGTAATTTACGGATCCCTAGAAGTGTCTCCCTGCCTTTTCTGTCTCCTTAGGCTCCTAGACCTCACTTGCTACGTGCAACAAACACGGGAGAAGTTGTCCTCCTTCTATCCTCTCCAGAAAGCCCTAAGAAGAAAGACCTAGAAAGGTTTACCCACTACCTCCTCTTCTAAGACTTGTTCCCATGTCCTATTTTAAAAAGTCTTTGCCTGGGGAGGGAGGAGCCACCTTCTGACCCCTTGCCAGGACACCCTTCCTGGTCGGGAAGTTCTGCCTCAAGCCCTCCCGTGCACCCGAGACGATTCCTTCTACCTTTTCCCCCCAAAAGCCAGGGAGCCTGGATCCTTACCCTGGCTGACCTCCAGGCTGACATCAAAGGACAGGCCTCGGCTGTTGAGGCCCAGGCCACACTTGTAGCGCCCGGAGTCATTCCGGAACAGCTGGGCGATGTCCACCACAAATGTGCCGTTCTCCGGGAAGTTGGTGAGGCGGGCTCTGCCCACGTAGTTGCTGGAGACGTAGCCCTCAGAGGAGATGAGCGTCGTGCAGGGGCCGCTGGCCCCCTGCCGGCACCAGTACTTCCGGGTGTGCCGGTTGACAGAGGTGGGTGGGTAGAAGCACGTGATGGACGCGGATTTACCTTCCACACCTCTCACCTGCTGGGGACCGAATATGGGACTCTTCGTGGAGACGGCTGTGGGGAGCAGAAGACAGAGGCTTTCTGAGGCCCTTGGGAGGCAAAGCCTGCCGAGGACTATTTCCCATGTACTGCAGCCAGAACATGGCTGTGACTGAGTAAAATGATTACTCTAATCACCATTAAATTCAAATTGCAATTCACTAATCATAAACATTTTAAGAATGATGGAATGACAAACTCATGACATCCCTTGTTTCTTTAAAAAAAAAATAGCCAGTTTTTTTAGGGTGTTACTTGTTATCTCCTTATATTTCTAAAAACACTTTGTAGAGATGGCTTTCATTTTTTCCCCCCAGATAAAAATATTAAGAGCAAGGAAGGATGAGTGATTTCCCCCAAATTCCATAGCAAGTCATAGAGATGCTTGGTTGGAGGTCAAGGGCTTTTTATTTTTGTAGAGATGAGGTCTCACTCTGTCACCCAGGCTGGAGTGTAGTGGCATCATCACAGCTCACTGCAGCCTCAAACTCCTGGGCTCAAACAATCCTCCTGACTCAGCCTCCCGAGTAGCTGGGACTATAGACACATCACGATGCCTAGCTAATTTTTCTATTTTTAGAATGAGACTGGATCTCATTCTTGCTCAGGCTGGTCTAGTTTTTTTTTTTTTCAGAGACAGGGTCTCACTATATTGCCCAGGCTATGTTTTTTTTGTTTTTTTGTTGTTTTTTTTTGAGACAGAGTCTCGCTTTGTTGCCCAGGCTAGAGTGAGTGCCATGGCGTCAGCCTAGCTCACGGCAACCTCAAACTCCTGGGCTCAAGCGATCCTCCTGCCTCAGCCTCCCGAGTAGCTGGGACTACAGGCATGTGCCACCATGCCCGGCTAATTTTTTCTATGTATATTAGTTGGCCAATGAATTTCTTTCTATTTATAGTAGAGACGGGGTCTCGCTCTTGCTCAGTGTGGTTTCCAACTCCTGACCTTGAGCAATCCGCCGGCCTCCTCCCAGAGTGCTAGGATTACAGGCGTGAGCCACCGCGCCCGGCCCCAGGCTACGTTTTTATTTCCAGAGAAGACCCTTCTTCAGGCCCCTGGCCTTGCGATTAGAAATCACCATTCCTGTCCCTGACTCCCAACGCTCACCCATCTATTTTCAGACATGGCCTTTCTGCGTCGTCTCTGTGTAACTCCTGCTCAAGGGAGCATGTGCTCTGAGAGGGACATCCTTTGGGAGGGGTCTGATTCCAGTGTCCCCAGGGAGCCGGACCCTGGCGGGGGCTGGCATGAGGGGGTAGAGTCCCGCGGAGTTGGCACCGGCAGACGCACCTGGAAAGGCAGCCAGCAGGCAGGCGAGCAGGAAGGGCGTCATTGCCGGTGGCTCCTGAGGGGGCTGTGCCGCCCAGGCTGACTTCTCGTGGGATGCTGAAAGACAATGACCACAAGGCATTGAAGCTGCTCTGTCTTCTAAGACTAGCTGACCTTAGAGCTTCTGTGACATCCGTTTGGCTTTGCATCTCCAGCGACTGACAGAAATCCTGTTGAGCGAATCAGTGGCTCCAGGTCTCCCACAGCGGCTCAGCGTCCCACCGTCCTATAGCGCTTACTGCTCCCCAGTAGCCATAGCTGTGGGGTCCTTTGGGACAGGGACATCAGTGTCGGTTGTTCTACATCCCTGCCTGGGGGCACGGTCCCAGATACACTGTAAGACCTCGGAAGCGGCTCTCTGGATGATGGGGTTACTACCCGAATGTGGCCCCATCTTCCTGTTTCAGCTTCTCTCCCTGCACCCCTGCCGTCCTATACCCTTCCCTGCACCCCTGCCCTCCCTACATCCTTCCCTACACCCCTGCCCTGCCTACACCCTTCCCTGCACCCCTGCCCTCCTTACACCCTTCCCTACACCCCTGCCCTGCCTACACCCTTCCCTGCACCCCTGCCCTCCCTACACCCTTCCCTGCACCCCTGCCCTCCCTACACCCCTGGAGCGGCTGACATATTTCATGGTGTGTTCAGATGGGGAAACTGAGACCCACAGAGGAGGTCTAATTTTTTTTTCCCATGAAATTCTTACGTCTCGCACAGGAGGTCTAATGATCATTAAGGTTGTAAGTGTGATGAGAACGGTCATAGCCCCACCAATTGCTCTCTTACCTTGTCCCAGGCGCCGTGTCAAATAATTTACATGTGTTATCTCCTTTGAACTTGATACCAACCCTATGAGGTGGGTATTCTTATCCACATTTTGCATCAGAAGAAAGGAGAGCTTAAAGGTTAAGTACTTTCCTCAACGTCACACAGGGGTGTCACACAGGGGTCGAGTGTGTGGCGTTGGGGGTGGGCAGGGTAGGGGCAGGGGAAGATGCGAGCCCAGCTTTGTCTGATTCCAAAGTCTAGCTCTCAACTTTCCCACTGTGCCGTGCCCACCTCCACCACGACAGAATGCTCACTCCTTAGGCTTGCTCCTGCCACCTGCGGAGCCCTGCTTCTTATCAAAGCCCTGTTGTTTACCCTATTTCATCTGAGCCTTCCCTTGAAATAAGATAGATGGCTATAATCACAACCACTTTTATGGATAAGAAAACTGCGATCTTGAGACATTTTGAGATAACCTTGGCTAAACGGCAGGCCCCGGGTTTCCCAGCGACTTCCGTTACGGGGTCAAGGTTAAAAACATAGGTGCCATATAGTCTTTAGAGTCCTGTCTGCTGAGGCCGCTGGGGACTCTAAGATAAGACCCCTCAGAGGGCGCAGCCCAGGTGGAGTTTGTCACCTCCCTGGACACAGCTCAGAGCTGGGGTGGCTTGAAGGTCCCAGGGTGGGGCCTGGCAGCCACTGTCATCAGAGCCCAAACCACAGCCTAGAGGGGTCCCCACTTTCCCACCGACTTTGGACTTTGACATACTTCGGAGTAGACTTGACAAAGAGAGTGTTAACCTGCCTAAGCCCTGGGCAGTAATGAGGCCTTAAAGATAAGGACTGCAGGCATGCTCCTGCTCCCAGAGCCTGGCTGGCCAGCCCGAGCCAAGGGCAATAGCAATGTGATGTTTATCTTGGTGATTTCTTTTCCGCAGGGGGATTTCCCAGCAAAGAACCTTTTATTTCCTTGTGGAGATAAAGGTATTCTGTTCTCCAGTTCTTTGGAAGTGTGAGTGGAGGGGTAGGGACAGATATGGGTGTCAGATGGCAACTTCCAGGCTCTCTTGAGTCTGGGTAATTGCCCAAGTTTTTTCTCACCGGGACAATGATTAACCCTGGAGTGGGGCCTTAGCCAGATGCCAGTCAGCCCCAACTTGCGTGTGCTCAGGGGACCCTAGATGGCGTATCACCTGAGTGGGCCCCGCAGGCCACGGTGGGAGACGCTCTCAGGCCGGAGCAGCTCTCAGCAGGCTGGGAAGCCTGTCTTCTCTGCAGCGGTTGGCACAGGCTGGCTGCAAAGTCCCGGGGAGTCTACCGCTGGCCATTTGTGCTGGCCCTGGGTGGGTGCAGTCACAGGTGGGAGGACAAAACGCCACCTGCTTTGAAGAGCTCAAACCAGCAGTGGCTATCCTTGGTTCTTGTCCCTGTCCTCTCTTCTAGATAAGCAAGCTTCCTAACATTTCTGTGAGACAGGAGGGGGTCCTCCCATGGGTTGAACTGGGGGGGCGCAGCCCCATCTCTGGATTGGTAAGTGACTGTCCCTGCTTTACAGAGTCAGATGCCAGGTTTTCCAAAGTGAGAATCCTGACTTTGATCCCAGACTTCTTCTCATTGTGTGGCATGTTTGACTGGCTCTGCACGTCCACACAGAGGGGGCACATGTACATGGACCCGTTACTCTTTGCACAGTCTCAAGCCAGGGACAAGAGCATCAGCGTGCATAGCTGGAAGGGCCAATCTGGCAGAAGGTGGCCTTGGGAAGAACATGCATAGTCCGGCCCCAGGGGAGGCGATGGGCAGAAGAGGACCCCCACGATCTCAGGAACTCTCCTTTGCCCAAAGCTAAAACTTGAAGCACAGTTTCTCTGGTAGCAGCTGAAAGGACCTTGTGCTTTGAACATCATTAGAGATCCCTTCCTCCCAAGACCAGACTTTCTCCTAAACCCAAGGATTTAAGTCTCAGGGGGAATGGGGGGAGGTTCCAGTTCCAAGTTGGCTGGAGCTTGATTTGAAAGATTTACTTAAGGAAGGCGGGAAAGATCATAACATTTTGGGGGCAGCTGCTATGTGCCAGATGCTTTGCTAGGTTCTTTTTTTTTTTTTTTAAATATGACTTCATTCCATTAGGACAGCAACCCAAGAGGTAGATGTTATTGTCCTCATGTTACAGGTGGGAAGTCTAAGGGTTAGAGAGATGCTTGACCCCAAGACCCACAGCACAATCAGAGTTTGAGATCACTACCCCATTATCTCTGTTGGATGAGCAGAGGGGCCTGTTCTATTGGGTTATATATGTGCTAGTATGCCATGCATGAAGGCACCTTTTCTGGTTCTTAAAGTAGTTGTTTTTTCACTTGTGAGGCTGAGATGTGCTAGATCATCCTCAGTTTACTATATTTATAGCATATATCCCCATGGTCATGGATTGGGCAGGGGTGTAGGCTGTATTGGAGAATAGAGTTTGTCTTCCTATAAAATTAATTTAACTAGCTCCTCTTCAACTGAAGTGACTATGCTTTAGCTCTCACGGCCTGGAGTCCAGACCTTTATCCATCCAATCTCAGGTTTCTTCCTTTTTCAGAGGAAGAAGGGTTTCCTGGACCCCGGTCTTGGCTTGGCTTCTGGTGAGCCATGTGGCCTGGTAACCTTGCAGCCATTAGGGTCTTTTTATCTCCTTAGCACCAGGAGAAGGTGAGTTGGTCAGCCCCCAGGGGCTTCAGAGGGGACAGAGAGCATTCGCTAAGGGGACTTGAAGCTAAGTTAGCAGTTTCCGATGGTCTTATGAGCATGAACTTGGAGGAGCAGGAAGATCTGGCCTGGCTGGGGAGGGGGTTTTCTTTGGCCTGGACAGAACGGCCCCTTCCCCTACTTCCGGGAGAGGCACTGCCCAACTCCACTGGGGACTGTCATTCTCATCTCCCGTGGGTGGAGGGTCCGAGCATAGACTAGAGTAAGCCTAGAGCAAGCTTGGAAAGAGTTGCATGAAGAGGAGCCTTGAGGATGGAAGAGAACCTGGGGTCCTGCTCTGCCCTGGGCTACACGGAGAGCTCTACCACTTGGGCAGGGTATGCTGGCTTAACTGCCGTGTCTGTAAAATGGGCATAACAGTCCCTGACTCTCCTAGCTTGAAGAGCTAATGCAGCAAGAGGGACTATGGAGGGAGATAATGGGACAGTGTATATGGAAACTCCTTAAGTAGCATAAAGTGATTCTCAACTTTTCAACTGAGAGATTACTCTCAAGCGCAGCAGGGTAGGGGTCTGTGCCCTTCACTGAGAGTGGCACGGGGTATTGACTCTATCAGCTCTCTCACTGGGCGGCTGTGTGTCTGGGGGCAAGTCACTCAAACTCTCTGACACCTGCAGTGCCTCTTCTGTAAACTGGAGAAATTGTGCCCAGCGTAGAGGTGAAATGAAACAACATAAGTACAGGCCTCGGTATGGTGTCAGAGGAATGTTAGTTCCTTTGCCCTTCCCTCTCTAAAATCAACAGTCTTCCCTTTTGTTCCTATCACAGAGGGGAGAAGAGAAGCCTGCTTGCAGGGTGTCCTTTGCAGACTGGGGGTGAGCTCTTCAGGTGGGACCGCGGCTGGGAGGAGGCACTCATCTGTGCTGGGTCAGAAGAACACACACCGAGTTCTTTCCGAGTGCTTTACATGTGCTTAACCTTCACAGCCAGCCTATGAGGTAGGAGAGCATGGGCAGCCCCATTTCACAGGTGCGATCATTGAGGTTCAGAGAGGTAAGAAATTTGCCCAAGGGTGCACAGCTGCTAAAGGGCTGATACGGGATTCTGGATCAAGGGCATAGGCTCACAGCCACTGCGCCATCCCTCAGAAGGTCTTGCCGGGAGAGGAAATATTAGCTGCTATGTATGAGCGCCTACCATGCACAGGGCATGTTACCTTCGTATCCTATAACCAGGCACATCAATGCCAAAGCCTCTTTCTACTCCATCACACTGTGCCAATGCCAGTGACCTGGGGACTTCAGCCCACCCAGGGAGAGGGCAAGACATAGATGAGGGTCTCTGTTGGGCACTGTGCATGAGTAATAATGATTTTTTTTTAAGTTAGGTCATTTTTTAGGTGACACCAAAATGTCCTCATGACCATATCAAAATAGCTGTATCCAAATGTCATTCACACTCACTGCGTCACTTTGCACCACTCACATTAACTCAGAGAGTCCTGGTTTCCTCGACTATAGAATGTTATCACGATGCGTGCCCTGCCTACCTCCCGGGTTTGTCTCAGGTGGGAATGCGATGACACCAGGGAAGCCCGGGGTTAGTGCATTTACGGCACGGAAGCCTGTGGGATCCCACTTTTATAAACTAAAACCACAGAGGTCCAGAGGCGCTAGGGGACAGGCAGAGCGAGTTGTTTTCGTGACTCCTGGTTCCGTGTTCCTCCCACTCCATCACCCCTTCCAGGGGCAGGGAGAAGGACGGATAGAGAATTCCAGATCTGGCTTTGGGAAGACCCTCTACTTCCTGCCACAGATAGCTCCCTACTACCCAAAGCCCCTGTCCAGATGATAAGGAACCTGTAATTCCCCTGGGGAGGGGAGGGACTGGTGGCAAAGGCAGCCTGCAAAGCCTGAGCAGCGTGGGTGGCTCTAGACGCCGTGACAACTGCATGAAGGGGCTGGGGGACCGGGGATGGAGCTTGACCAGCTGCTGCCCTTGTGCAGGACGGTCCCCCAGCTGGCTTGGGATGCTGCCGGGATGGGCAAGGGGAGGGGAGCACCATGTCTGAGGCTTCCTGGCTGCATAGCTGGGAGAAGCATCTGGACTTGGGGACGCTGCCTGTGCCTGGGTGGCTCTGCCCACCTTTCCCGGTGACCCTGCGAGAACCTCATTTTTCCTGCCTGTAGCGTGGGCAGGATGACACGATGATACACATTTACGTATCAGGTGGCAGGAATCTGCTGCAGCAAAGCCGGGTTGAAATTGGAAAGGATTTCAGAGCCTTTCAGAAGCCCAGAAAAAGGGGCTGAACATGCCCTCGCCAGGAAGCGGGGGGAGAGGAAACCCCCAAAGACTGGAAGGGGACTTGCTGCGTGCAGCCCCTTTTGTGCATCCTCTGAATCCAGCCTGTCTGGTGCTCGATACATCCTTGAGTAATTGGGCTAACGTGAAAATACCGAATCATTCCTATCCCACTTTAGAGTTTGCAAAGCTGTTTGACACATGTTTCCTCATGGCAGTTATTTATGTCCCTGTCTTACAGATCAAGAAATGGTCTCAGATTTAGGCGGCTTGGCTAAGGCCACACAGTTAATGAACTGTGGAGGAGTTAGGGCATTTGGGGACCAAGCCTAAAGAGACGGGCTACATAGGCTGAGCCCAGACGTTCCTTCCCACTGCTGGCATTCCGCAGAAAGGGCAGGGGCTTCCACGCACCGTGTGCTTCCCTGTCCCACTGGGGTCCCACCGCACACGGTCACAGGCCTGCCCCCCGGCCCTCCTCACCCCACTCTCTGCGAGACGGGCAGCTGTGAATGCGGGCGACTGCCTGAGCCACCATCCCGGGGCCGTTCCCAGGCAGCATCCCGTCCGCCCGTGGATCCCAGAGCAGTCACACTTACTTTAGCCACTTCCTTCTCTCCCGTTGATCCAGTTTCAGGGGCGTCCAGTCCGTCACCCCTGCCTCTCGGGACGCTGCCAGCAGGGCACTGGATGCCGCTGCCAAAACTGAAACTCTGTTCAGTGCTTGACCCACACCTGGGCTCTTAAAGGGCCACTCTCCCACAGGCAGCGTGGCCAGCCAGTGGCACGTGACTCTCCCAGGCCTCCTGCTTTCCTTTCATTTTGGCTTTCCTGGCTGGCTCCGTTTGCTCTCCTTTGACCTTGGGAAGACTCTGTTACTTGGGAATCCTCCATCATGGCAGCTGCAGGGGGCAGGACAGAGTGTCAACAGGGAAGGTCCTGTCCTGTCGCTTTCTAACTGCAAGACCCTAGGCAAGTCACCTTCGCTTTTTTTTTAAATCTGGAAAAAGGGGATAGTAATGTCAAATCTGCAGGTAGGGGACATAGCCAGATACTGGATGCAAAAACGCCTGGCCCAATGCTTGATACGAAGTTGACGGCATTCGACTGGGCACGGGTGGCACCAATGGCTCTCTTAGTTAGTCCTTGGTCTCACGTCCTCGCCACCTGGGAACCCCTCCAACCCCCTAGGATATTTAGCCTGGACTAGGCCCACCGTTTACACTCCTTCTGCAAACCCCTTTTTATCAGCCCCAGAGTTTCCAGAAACCAACAGGCAGAGCTTCCAAGAACTGGGGGGACCGTGGCTCTTCCCTTTTCACTCCCTGGAGTAATTAAAGACTCTGGTGCTTCCGGGCTCCCCCCAAAAGGGCCAACCTCAGAGTCTTATTGGGGCCCAGGCTCGGCCCCACAGCCAGGAGGGCACCCACCTGCTGAGCTGGGGTCGCGACCTCTTTCCTACCTGGTTAGTCCATGGTGGTCTCCCAGGACGGGACCAGGTTGGGACGCCCAGGCGCTCTGCAAAGGATCGTGGCAGTCCTGTGTTGCACAAGCGAAGCCCACCCCAACACGCGTGTAAACACACACACACACACACACACACCCCCACACCGCTTCCCTCACTACACCCCTGCCCTAGCCCACCTGTGCGGGCCGGCCCCAGGCCCTCCCTGCAGAGTCCGACAGGCAAATCCCAGAAGAGGAAGGAGAAAAGGAGAAGTGGAGCCCTGGAGAAACACGGGGCGCTCAGAGCCCGGGTCTTAATTTGTGTGCTCACTCGTGGGTGTTGATCCACAATGACAGATTTGGATGGCAAAGAAAGAAGCCATGTTTTCTATTAGGTAGCTTAATTTCAGCCCTTAAACCCATCATCTGACTGATGTAAGAAAAACCACGACTAACTGGGCACTTCCAGGCAAACTCAGTCCGAACTCAGTGGTAGCTCAGTGACTCCACTTGGGATTTAAAATTCGGTCTCATTCTGGGTTTTCCTTCCTTTTGGACCCTCCCTGTTCTCCTCTCGTGCTTGTGGCAAGGCTTGGGAGAGTGGGCACGGGTGAGGGGTGGCCAACGTCACTGTTGGGGCAGTGAGCAGGAGCGGCCCATTGCTTTGGTCTTGCTTTGTCACGCTGTTGTGTTGGCCCCGCACTCCAGAAGGAAACAGTTCTGTCTACTGAGATGTACGCCTTGCCCTGCCTGGTCAGAGGTCCACTCTGAACCCTCCCTGTCCGTGCTGCTGGCTTCCTTTGGGTGGGAATTCCAGGCCCTCGGCCCTCCCTTGCCTTGCTTGTGGGTGCAGGGTAAGTGAGGCCCATCTGCGTCCTCCTGAGGCTGGTGGCAGATCCCGAGTAGTAGAGCCACGTTTACCCAGCACCCCTCGTAGCCGCCTGTGCTCCAGTGGTCTCATATAATCGAGGGTACAGTGGATGTGAGCAGGACCGTGGACCACCAGGTTCACAGGGGGTTCGCCTGTGGACCGAGTTCTAGACAGGACAGGCAAGGTGCAGGCCCTCGGGGCGCTGGAATTTCCAGGCCCATCTGGAAGCTTCTATCGGCGTCCATCCTCTGCACCGGACTCTGCCCCGTGGTGGTGGCCGGGAGCATGGCGGGACTCAGCAACAGCTAAGCTCGTCCTCTTCCTCGCCTGCAGTCTTTCCCCTCTTCCCTTCCGGGGCGGATATGGAGGGCAGACCGAGAGGTGCAGGGACAGGGATGGCTCGAGCCTGGCTCTGCCAGAAGGGTTCCCTTCTTACACCTCTCTCCACTTGAACTCAATGGTCAAGATATTTGTAGGGCTTGTTTCCTTATTTCTCAGTAATCTGCTTTCCCCAGAGCAAGGAGTAACCTGTGTCTAGCTGTCTAGGCTGGGAGGCCCACTGAATACTGGCAGAGAAACGCGACGAGCAGAGGCTCTCGGGGAGGGCGGGAAGCTCGCCTGTTAAATCGGGACTCCCCGCTCGGCCTCAGCGGGGTGGATGGGGGTGATCTCCTCCCTGCTTCATCGTGACGTGACGTGGGTAGTTTGCTAGATCATGTCCTGGCGCCTGTCTGCAGTGGACTCCGAACTGTCTTGGTGTCAGACACACATGCATGTAAACACACACACACACACACACCCCACGTTCCCGAAGCCCACCCAGCCCACTGACCCAGCTTGGGAGAAGGGAAAAATGAGAAGCAGAACCCAGGCCAAGAGCCACAAAAAAAAAAGTCCCACGTCCCATTTTGGGCTCAGCCACACGCTGGAGGCGTGATCGGAGTCACCACCTTCCCCTCTTCCACTGCGGCTTCCTGTTTGCAACCCACTGGCCCTAAAGCAGCCCCTGTATCTCTGCCCTGTGGGGAGGAGGGACTGGCCCAGAGGGTCTGTGACCCAGAGCTTAGTGACAGCAGGAATCGTGCCTTCCACCTGCTCGGAAGTCCTCCCTGCCTTTCAATAAGCAATAAGACAATAAAATATATAATAAAAACAGCAGCTTCTCATTTGACGTTCGTGGCTCTGGGACTCGGTATGAGTCAGTGCAGGCAAATTCGGAGTGACTGGTTTGGGGTCAGAACAGTCGTGTCCTGGCCCTGGTTCTGCTCTAAGTCGCCGCCAAGCGACCTTTGCCAAGTCACTTACTCCTTCAGGCCCGAGGCCTTTCTACCTGTTAATTGAGACCGCAGGGCCCGGTGGCTCCCTGCTCTTCCAGTTCTAAGAGTCTGTGTTTCGCTGGGCTCTGTACTAGTCTCCCGTGGCTTTGGTAACCAGTTATTGCAACTTTGGTGGCTTGAAACAATAGCAATGTATTCTCTCTCAGTTCTAGAGGCCGGAAGTTCAAAATCCAGGTGTGTCAGCAGGGCCACCCTCCCTACGAGGGCCTTGGGGAATAATCTGTCCCTTGCCTCTTCAAGCTCCAGGTTGGTGCTGGCGTTTCCTGGCATCCTTTGGCTTGTGGCGGCATCACTCCCGTCTCCACCCCCGTGATCATATGGCCTTCTGTGTGTGTCTCAAATATCACTCGGTCTCTCTCTTATAAGGACACTTGTGATGGCATTTAGGACTCACCCAGATAACCCAGGATGAGGCCCTCATCTCGAATCCTGAATTTGATCACATCTATAAAGGCCCTTTTGCAAATAAGCTTACATATTTACAGGTTCCAGGGATGAGGATATAGACAAATCTTTGGGGGGTTATTTTGCAGCCTACCACGGGCCCCTGCTATGACCATGAGTAGTTCAGGATCCAGGGAGACTTGAGCCATGCAAGATGTGCGTCCCTTGTCCCCAAGGGCATATGGTCTATTTGAGGAGTCGTCACCCGCATACGATATTGTCAGGGAAAAATGCAAGCCAGGAGGTCCCAAGCATGGAGAAGCAGTGCAGCCTGTGGAAAGAGCACAAGCTCTGGAGCTAGACCACCCTGGGTTTTCAGCCAAGCCTTGCCACCTGCTAGCCAGAGGACCTTGGACAAATTATTTAATGTCTCCAGGGAAAATTATTCTTACCGCATAGGTATGCCATAAAGATTAAGTATAGTGTGTGCAGTGGCTGGCATCTAACAGAATCTTATGATTCAGCATCAAATGAATGGGACAGCAAGGCTTTTGGAACCAAGAGTGACTCTCCACTGAACCATGAAGATCTGAAGGCAGAGAAGTGAAATGACTTGCCCGAGTTTGCACAGTGACACAGTGGTGGCACAGATGGGTCTAGAGCCAACGTGTTCTAGCACTGGGCATTTTCCTCTACTTCCCAAAGCCATTCATCTCAGGATGAATCTTTTGGATTATGTTTCCACAGACAGCAAGCGACTTCCACTTACACCCTCGGCTGACCCAGAGATGGCTGGAGAGGACCAAGGCCATCAGCTCACACAGGCTGGCGTCACGAGCCTGCTGCTCCGTGGCCAGGGGCTGACGCGATCATCAGTTGAGAAGGGGAGGCCATGCAGCCCTTTGCACTTGCCACTGCCCACTGGGCATCCCTTGGCATGGATGGCTCCTGTGAGTGTGGCTTTTGCCAGGTAATGAGATAAGAGTGGACAGAAACGCTGTTGACTGCCAGTTCCCTGATGCCGCGTGCATATCTCCAGCTGCGTCAATGTTTAACCCTTGTCTGGAGTCAATGTTTAATCCCAGGCCAGCCGGCCAGTCCTGTGATCCTGCATTCCCCATCCACCCTAGAATATAGAGCTATGTTAGGATCAATCACTGGAAAATAAAATGGTGACAGTGAATCTTCCAAAGCTAAATATCATCTACCCCGCCATCCCCCAAGGATGTTGGCTGTTTGGAATTATTCATGCCTGTCCCCAGCAGCAGATAGTGATGTAGTGCTTCCTGACCCTGGCTCTTCCGGTTCCAGCCCTGCCTTTGGGGCTGGGGGAAGAGAGCATGGGTGGGGACCGCTGCCTTTGGTGCTCAGCTGGCCACGAGGGTGTTGCTCGTGGGCACCATGATCCCAGACTGGGTGCTATTGGGAATCCACTAGAGAGTTGGAACCGGAAGGGTCTGGCTGGCCAGGCTCAGGCAGGTTTTGTGGGAGTTTCTAAGTCCAGACTTACGTTCAGAGGCCTAGGTGAGTCTCCCTGCTGGAGGAGAATTAATTATAAAGACTCCATGTTTGCCTGACTATTGGGCGGTTCCATCGGGGCTCCCCAGGGTCCTTGCTGAGGAGCTCGAGGCACAGCATCTACGACCTGGCAGCATCAAGCCAATGCCACGAGCAACCTTAATGAGATAGAAGGGGAAGGATGCTCAGGTGGGTGGTTGGGTGAGGGAAGAGGGAAGCGGGCTGCTGCCACAGTAGTGGCTCTGATCTTTGGGCAGGGCTGGAGAGAGGGCGACTTACTGACCACAGGTATGCAAGTGAGCCTCTTTCTCTTTATCTTTCCCACATGAACACACTGGGCCACCTTGCCTCCCTGTGTCACTGCCCCGATGTTCAGGCCCTCACCTGTTTTCCTAGCTCAGCGGACTCCCAGTCTGCTGAAGAGTGAACTCAGCCATTTCTTCTTGGGCTTCCAGTGGGGGTTGGAGGGGTGCTGGCCCCCTTTCATCATGTTGGCTGGGGGGGGGAGTGAAGGCAGAGCCCCCCGAGACTGTGCGTCTTGCCCTGACAAGGCTGTCCCGGGGAGAGGGCTTGGGGAGCTGAACAAGAAAGGCCCTGGCGGTGGAAAGTCCCCTCTCCCAATTTCCCTTTGGGCCTCGTCCCCAGGCCTCACAGAGCTTTTATTCTCTGGCTCTGAGAGGCAGGGACAAATGAGCAAACCTTTTCTCAGGCTACCAAACCGCCATCCTGCCCTGTCTTACCTCCACACCCTGGCTAGGGAGGAGCGGAACGAGGAAGAGTTTTGGAGTAGACATCCAAAATCAACAGGTGGAGTGTCAGGTGACAGGGCCCAGCCCCTCTCATAAGCCATTGGGGTCCTTCTGGAGACTGGACGTTTCCTTGTTCCTGCTCTGAGTCTGATCTGAGTCTGGCCCTCGGCCCAAGGCTGCCTGGCCGGCAGCCGTTGAAAACACAGCCCCTGTGATCCCCTGTAGCCTGTGCCCATAGGGGCCTCAATGTTCTCATCTATAGAATGGGAGTCTGTTTCTTTCCGATGAACTGCCATGAGCGTTTAATTTTCTGTACTACCCTGTTGGAAGTGGGGGAGTGTGCCGCAGAATAAAAAGTTTAGACCAGTTGCATTGACTAATCGGTCTGACCGTCCCATGCCAGGCCCTAAATAAGCACACCCCCTAACTCTCTTTTCTTCAACTCTTGTCTGAAGTGAAGTGCACCGTCTTTGGACAAATCGTGGGGCATCTTGGAAAATGCCTTTGGGCATGGTAGTCCTGGCTATCTTCCTCTTCCCTAAAATTCTCAGGGTTGGGAGGTCAGGAATTTGCAACTCAGGGAAAGAAGTAGGATTTGTTTGACCCTCCGTGCTCACAGCAGAGCCGGTAGACCCGGGCAGAAGCAGCAAACGCGTGAGGAGCAGGAACAAGGCCAGAGGCCGGAAGAGGCAGGACACAGAAAAGGCCAGGTTCTGCCCAGTGAATGTGTCTTTAACGCAACGCGAGCAGGAGGCAGATGGCGGCCTGCTGGCCCAGGGACTCAGGGCTGGTGATTTTCACATGCACACAGAGATGTGGCATGGGGCCCTCCCCTGCAGCTGCCACCTCCCTGCTGCCCACCTGTGTTTCACCTGGCTTCTTGGAGAGTGGGCAGTGTCGTGACAGGTCGCCCTCTGCTGACGGTGAAGGGAGCAGGCTGGCCCGGGAGGGCCAGTGTCTGTAAACCAAGCCAAGTCTCCTAAAGAGAAATGGACAGCGTGGTGGCACTGGACCCTGCCTGCAGGGCCACCCACAGAGAGTCCGTTTCCTTCTGCATGGAATGTCCATTCTCCATTCCACGTTTGCCGAGCTCTCAGCTCTGGGATGTCCGCACCAGCGGGGCACAGTCCCATACCCCAAGTCTACACGGCAAAAATGCACATGGGGTATTTCCATGAAGGTAACTTCCTTTTAGGGTGTGACTGAGGCTGTTATTAACTTGGTTCTGTATTTCTGAGACCACACCGGGTATTGCAGGTGAGGAAGAAACCCCAACGTGTTAGTGGAGAGCAGTGAGAAGTTAGCTTAGGGTCAACATTTGCTCTGAGTGACGTGAGCTAGATAGATGTGCCCACAAATACAGATCTGGGCTCTCCTTGTATAAATGTCAGCAAGGACCTCAGGCCTGGTGCCTGAAGCTTTGGCTCTCAGTTCCGGCTCCCTGAACTTTTTTTTTTTTTTTTTTTTACACTTCACTAGGCCAGGACAGGAATAAGCTAGCTAGGTGACTAAAGAGAATGAATTCCTGGAAATGATTATGAAACCTTCCATGCACAAGCCTAAGAGAGAGAAAACAAACAAGTCTTTAGAGCTTTAAAGAGGAAAGCATCTGACCAGCTACCCAGGACAAGCAAGGGGCAAGGCAGGGCGGCACAGCGACCAGGGTGTAGCTGTGCAGGTGGACCACTTTGCATTCACCTCCCAGCTTGCCTTTTCCCTAGCAATGTAACTACTTAATTTCTCTGGGCCTCAGTTTTCTCATCTGTAAAATGGGAATTATCATACCTGCTTTACAGAAATGTTGCATCAAGTGAGATAAAGAATGGGAAAATTCAGCATCACCTTTCTTTCCAAAAAAAAGAAAAAAAAAAAAAGAATGCGAAAATACCCAGAGCAGTGCCTGCTGTGTGGAGACACATTAACAAGCAGTAGCAGCGTTAATAAGGAGGAGGGCAAGGAGAACTGAAGGGTGGTGCCTGAAGGAACACAGGAAATTTCACTGCAAAATACGACCCCTTGGTATAAAGAGTATTTTGAATTAAAGACCTTTAGAGAACAACAGATCTTAGAAGGGGTTTTCCCTCTTTCTTCATTACGAAAAACCAGACCCACCAAAAGGAACAAGAAGATCCTTTTGAATGGATCCTTTTGAATCCTCTCTAGAAGATCCTTAAGAATGCAACCAGACCTAGCCCAGCCCATTTTAAGATAATACCTGTGTCTCAGGTTAATTTAGTTTCCGAAGACAATCACTTACAAGTCAATCTGTTTTCCCCCATCCATTCCTTCTCCCACGTATGCATTTATCCTCCCTAATAACCATTTATTGCCCCTCAACAGGATAACCTATATTCCTCCTCTCCCCCTCCCCTTTAAAATGAGGGGATATACATTTCTGGACTCTACTGGGAAACGGCGTAATGACTCTGTGGTTCCTGGGCAGGGTAAATAAATCTCTCTCTTTTCTTAATGTGCCGTATTGTGGGTTGATCTTTCCGTGAACTCCACATGCCGTAACCCGAGAATCTGCTCGATCGTATGAAAATCAGTGGCTGCTCTGTGTCCTGGATTAGAAATCCCCGTGGAGACTTCCCTGATTCTAGCCTAGTGGTGGACGTTTCCCTGCTCCTCATCTCAGTGCTGTGGGCATCGTGCTAGCCGGGGACAGAAAATGACAAAACAAAAGCACTGACACTACCAACTGGTGGAGTCGGCCTCCTTGGCCTGTTTTGCCTCCGGCCTTTAAGTCACCCCAGGAGGGGTCCCACTCCCTGCATCAGTTAGGCCATAAAGGAAAGCTGTAAACACTCGGGGCTGCCCCACTTCCTTCCCTGCAAAGCCCTTACCCAGATCTTATCTCTGCCCCTCCAAACTCTTGGCCCTGAGACTCTGCTCAGGCCCTTTGAACTTTGTCTCCTCCCACCCTTGCCCGTGGAACCATTCCTGGCTCTAGCCACTGGGCCAACACCCTTGCTGTGCTGGTCGCCTCCTCCTTCCCCTCCTTCCCTCCAGATGGGGTAGTCAGACAGGACGTTCTAGCTGCTAAATTCCAGACAGAAAGCACTAGAGCAGTTCAGAGGAAAGAGAGGTCCCTGAGAGGGGTGGTCGGGGAAGCGCTGGAGGAAGAGGGGGGTCTGATCCTTCAGATCAGAGCAGAGGTGGGAGAGTCAGGCATGGCTTATAGCGCAGTGCAGGGCTTGGCAGGTCATGGCTCAAGAGCCCAATCCAGCCTGCCTCCTGTTTTTGTAAATAAAGTTTGTTGGAACGCGGGCACGGTCGTTTGTTTATGGATTGCACCCGGCTGCTTTGTGCCACAAGGGCAGGACTGAGCATGGCCGCAGAAATTGTAGGACCCGTCAAACCTAAAATATCTACCATCTGGCCCTTTAAAGAAAAGCCTGGCCTGAGTCACACACCTCTCAGGGCCCACTTCCTCATTGGTTGCATGGGACAGTGGTGTCTGTCCTACCCTCCTTAAAGGTTTTTTGGGCAGGTCACTGAGAGAATGGGCATGGAAACCACTCGGAGGGATGACTATGCTATCATTGATTTTGGACAATCAGTTTTGCTCTGATACGTCGCATAGCAATAGTGACGCGGAAAAGGCCCCAGGCCAAGGTCCTGAGCTCTCTTTTCTAGTCCTCACTCTGCTATTACTAACTGGGTTAACCGAGTGACTTTAAGCAAGTGACTACCCCCACTCCTGGGCCTCAGTTAACTCACTTCTAGACTGACGATTTTAGACTAATGTCCAAAAATCTATTAGCTCTGAAATTCTACGATTCCACTTGGCCAGATGTGTGCAACTTCCCTGCTTTTCCAAAACAGCAGCCCTGAAGCCTGCGGCTCCTTGATTTTCCTGCTACAGTGTCTTGGTTCGGGACCAGATAGGAAGATGTATTGCCGAAGGATTTCTGACGCTGCTGATGGCTTAGAAGGTGGGGCTGAGGCCTTCTGGAAATGTCTACCTGACAATCCTCCAATTGATATTGGAGCCTTTCTTTCCCTTCCACCTGCATTGCTCAAATGCTGGTGCATCCAAATACGGAGTCCAGACAGCTGCCGACACATCTGGCAAAAGGAAAGAGCAGATGTGATCCCTGAAAAGACAGTGGGGCCTGCGACAGCGCAAGGTCCCCAACAGGCGTGAGGTTACGTGGTTATGAGGCAGAATCCACATAAAACTCCTCTCTTTCGTCCCCTACCCCATCCCCAAAGCCCTTTTCCAGCTTCATCCACAGTCCTTGATATGAAGGATTTTTATAAGCAGTTGAACAAGAGGAACTTTATGAAGAAGAGGAGACTCTACGGAAAATACCCTTCTCCTAGGAAGATCCTCCAGGAAAATCCCAGAAAATCTTGACTAGGTCAAAAGGTCTACAGTATAAGGAGCATGGGGCCAAATGGGGAGGGACGTTGTGAGGCAGTGTTCCTCCGTGTGGTCTGAATGTAGAAACCACCGCCCCTGAGGTCATCTAGAGAACTCCCAAATGCAGGGCCAGATGCCCGAACGATTCAGAGCTCTAGCGTGGGCAAAATCCGCAGGGGCCACTGGGCTGTGCCCTCCCAGTCGCCAATCAGCCACAGATATTGACTGGGACCCTACTGAGCTGGAAGTTCTCTGGGGACATACTGAGATGGATAAAACACAATTACTGTCGTAAAGAAGCTTAGAATCTACTTGAGAAGGCGAGACATCATACACGGATATAATGACATGTGAGCAGCAGGCCGAGTACTAACATGTCAGGAAGGGAGGTGCCCAGCAAGGGCTGGGAGTGGTGGTAGAGAATTTGTCCTTGTCCACACTGATTGGAAGCCTCTTCTATTTTCAAACATTCAGAAATGGAAATTCCACACTTTGCCTAGGTGACCTCTTCCAGGGTTTAACAAACCCTTTCCTGAAGCCTTCTTCAAGTCACACTGCCGCCTTTGGCCATGGACAATGCTTGAGCATCTTGGGCCCAAGCATGGTCAGCCTTTGCTTCCCCGGGTGGAGCTCCAGCTGCCTCAGCTCCTCCTCGTGCAGGTGGAGGAAGGATGCTGAGAAGAGGCTGGGGGTCTTGGAGGTCTTTGGTCCTGGTCCTCCTTCCGTGGTGACTGGGTGGTTTATCTTTCCATTTCTCGGGGCCCCAGGTCTCTCTCCGGGACAGTCAGGCTGGCTTGGGCAGCAGGAGAGCCATCCTGGAGCATCTTCCTTTCCACGGGGGGCAGCTGGTCTGCTTGGAGACTTGGCTCCAGGAAAGGTGTCATCTGAATCAGGGTGACCCGTGGTGCTCTTCCTGCCTCCTGAGCTGCAGAGACACAGGGGCTGTGAGGGTTCTGAGCGTGGACAGCACTGAATTTCATTCCCTGGGAACCACGTTTGAGAACTTCCTGACACAGAAGACTGGCAAGCGCCAGCTTGGCCAAGTGACTGGGCCCGGCCTTTGGGGCCCTGGGTCTGCTAACCTTAGCCTCCTCCACTTGCTCCTAGAAAAATCTCTAGGCCTAAACACCACGGAGCACTGACATTAACAGTACTTAAACCTGGGCACATGGCTATCGCAGAATTTTAGCAGGGCCATAAACAAGGTGCAAATGCAAGGCATGACCCCACCTCTGGGCCCCTCACTCCTGCTCTCTGCTGCTGGATTGCTCACGTGGCTGCAGTGCCTGTGGTTAGCATGTACCTTGTAACCCTCAAAAGCTTCTCCTTAAGCTTTCGGATGCCTCTGAGTCCTAAGTACAGAGATGATCTTCCCATTTTATTGATTAAGAAACCAAGAGTGGTTAAATGGCTCAGACCAGAATATAGCCCTTCTACATTCAAGAGTCCTGAAATGACTTTACCCCCACCCAGTTTTGAGGGTGTCAGGTGGGAAGAAGCACTCCTCTCCCTGGCCTTGGGGCTACTCCACTCACAGGTCCTCCTGCTCCGGAGCTTCCTCTGCAACAGAACCAGAGCCGCAAGCATGAATGGGGCCAGCATGGTAGAGACTGGAGTCAGGATGCGAGGGCTGCTCTTCTCTGGTAAAGCACTGGAGTGGGGACGGAAAGAGCACAGGAGAGAAGAGGCTGGAGCCAGCTAGATGACAGAGGGTCATCTGGGCCCCCCACCCCTCATTTTACAGGTGAAGAAGCTGAGGCCAAGGCAAGTTGGCTGCCCTGGTTCCCACAGCTGGTTAGTAGCGGAGCTGGGACTAGAACCTCTGTCTTCAGGTTCCAAGCCTGAATCCTTTCCCCTCCTCCACCCGCCAGAGCGGGGGCCCCACTGCCTGCATGCCACAGTGAGAACGAGGACTGAGCGGGAGTTGGGGACGCCAGCCTCGGCATTTGTCTCTGCCACAATCTTTCCTTGTGGCTTCAGCGGGCCACCTCCCCTCTCTGGAGCCTCTGGTCTTCATCTTAAAAATTAGGAAGTCCTAAGGTTCCAGCCTAAATATTCTGTCATTGTACTGCTTATATTTCACTGGAAAACCATGTGACAATACTCAGGGGGTATTCTCACAGCACGGGCCCTCAAGGGAGGGGTGGGGTCTGATGTGTGTGTCACTGTCCGGCAGGTACAAAGGGAGAGGAGTGACCAGAAGAGAGGGGACAAGATGTGGGTCCCCAGCTGGGAGGAGGGGCCTGGGGGTTACCTCTTCACGGATGACTCTTTGCCGGGGGGTCTCAAGGGGCCTGCTGCGGGGGCCTGGCTCGGTGTCGCTTGGGGACCACTGTCTCCAGCCGCAGCGTCTAGGTCCCCTTCTGTGCTTCCCTCTACAGACGCGGTCTCTATGCTGGTGGCTCCCAAGGTCCACACTCCTGCAGCTGGGGTTGTTCCTTCAGTCCAGCCCAGGAATGGTTGCTTAGAAACCGGCGTCGTTTCTTGCGGTATTTCCCAGGGCAGTTTTTCGGAGACCAGGGCTGGTGGCCTGCTGGTTCCTATGACCTTTCTGGCCACATCCACGGATATCCTGGCCCTCTCTGTTTCCACCCTCGGCCTGTCTGCCTGGGTGGTTGTCATCTCCCTCCTGTCCTTGCTGACAATAGCCCTGTTTGTCATTGAGCTTCTCGTGCGCCACATCCAAACACCGTCTGTTGTGTTGGACAGGCTGCTGGTGTTTGAAGCTGGACTCTCTGGAACAGGAACTGTTGCCGTGACAGAAGCCTCCACCCAGACACCTGTCCCTGGAGCTGCTGTCCCTGTCGTTCCTGGGGTTTGTCTCCCCTTAGCTGAGGCTGTGGCTGTGCTGGCTCCTGGAGTTGGAGCACCTCTGTCCCATCCTGTCCCCCGTCCTTCTGTGGTCTGGGTGAGTCCTGGGGTCCATCTATCGGCGGCTGGAGATGCTGTTTCAGAAGGTCTCGGGGGGAGGTCCCCAGCAGCTGGAGTGGCCGTGGGGAGGGAGCTGGAAGGACCTGTGTGAACGGCAGAGGGAGGCCACGTGGGAAGGCACCCAGGTTGCTTACTGGATTTGGCAAAGGACGCTGGGTTTAAAATCTTTGCCAGATGGAATGCAACCTCACTAGGCGATGCAGACTTCGGTCGATATGTTGGATAAAATTAAAAGTTTGGCCACACCTGTAATCTCAGCAACTTGGGAATCTGAGGCAGGAGGATCATTTGAGCCCAGGAATTCAAGGCTGCAATGAGCTATGATGACAGAGCCTGGGTGACAGAGCAAGACCCCATCTCAAATAAAATACAAAAATAAAATAAAGTAAAATATAATAAATATTGGGGAACCCAGCTGTATTCTCTAGCCTGCTGCAAACATTGAGATCTCCCATCCCCTTCTCCCATGCCCACATATTCTCTAGCCAGCTGTCCAGGATCCACAAGCTGCCCCTGTCCCTAGAGCCCCATGGCCCAGCAGGCAATGGTCTTCCAAAAAGAAAAATAAAAAAAGAAACATTCCAGCTCCAGTAAGCAGCCAATGGCAGCAGATGGTTGGAGAGCTGCGTGGAATAAAGCTAACCTGCCCTCAGGCTGCCTCCTAGCACGACGTCTCTTCTGTAGAGTGGCCTTCCACAGCTGGGGTGCCCTTCCTGCACTCTGGCTGCCTGACTCTGGATCAGCTCTCTAGAACCTGCCGCACAGGACCCGGGCCTGGCCGCTGAGCATCTCTGCTGAGAGTCTCAGCAAGGGCCTGTGTTAGAAACAGGCTAGTTGCAATTCTTCTCTCTTGCTTGTCACGGCTCCTCTGCAGTGCCACCCGCTTGTCTGCATGTCTCAACGTAGAGCCATCAGGACCCTAAGAAGCCACACTAGCCAATTCACTGCCTCCTTGCAACTATCTCCAAATACGCATTCCACACACTGGGGCGGGCGGATTATGTGCATTCAGTTGGGAAGTTTATCCCAATACCTCCCTTCCTTCTGAAGGTAGCTTCCCTTTGACGTGAACGCCTACTGCTTAAAGTCTTTGCCTTGTCCCCCGCTTTTCATCATCCCTCCCCTAATGTTTAAAGCCCTCTTGGTTCTCTGAACCTTCCCTTGCACCTTCCCCTTCCCAGCGTTCACTTCCACGAGCGGAGCTCATCAGACATCAGCCCGTACCTGCAGAGACGGTCAGATTCATGCTGAAGAACAGCATGGTGCTTCCGTCCCCAATGCCGCAGTGGTAGCACCCCACGTCATCCAGGGACAGCTGGGACAGCCGGACCACAAAGAAGCCCCTCTGTGGGAAGTCCGCTAGAGCCACCCGGCCGTGATAGCGGTAGTGAGTGTAGCGGCTGCTGGACACGATGGTGCGGCAGGTCCACCTTGGGGGGCCCAGGCGGCACCAGTACTTCCTCTGGCGCCTGTTGACCGAGGAGGGGGCATAATGGCACTGGATGGTGACAGCTCCCCCGGGCTTCCCAGACACCAGCCTCGGGCCCTTCAGTGCATTTGCAACTGCAGGCAGAGGAAACAGTCAAAGGAGAGGGAAGGGTGAGTGCAGTCACCATAACAAGCTCTGAACTCTGCCAGAATTAGGGGTCAGGTTAGAAAGTCCCACTGTAGAAGTAGAAATGGCAGAGCTTGGCCACTGGGGAAGCGGGAGTCTCCCCGAGACGTGGAATGGCGCCATACCCAAAGCCCCATATGAAGGATGAAAATGCAGCAATCATTTTACCCACTGTTCAGCTAGCACTTAGCTGAATGTGCTAGGTGTTCTCATACCAGTCCATCCAGAGCCTGGGTTCATTCCAATGTGCTCCAATGCAGATGTTTAGAAAAAGATGTCACCTGGCCGGGCTCAGTGGCTCACGCCTGTAATCCTAGCACTCTGGTAGGCAGAGGCGGGAGGATCACTCAAGGTCAGGAGTTCAAAACCAGCCTGAGCAAGAGCGAGACCCCATCTCTACTATAAATAGAAAGAAATTAATTGGTCAACTAAAAATATATAGAAAAAATTAGCCGGGCATGGTGGTGCATGCCTGTAGTCCCAGCTGCTCAGGAGGCTGAGGCAGGAAGATCACTTGAGCCAGGAGTTTGAGGTTGCTGTGAGCTAGGCTGACACCAGGGCACTCTAGCCCGGGCAACAGAGTGAGACTCTGTCTCAAAAAAAATTAAAGAAATAAAAATAAAAAATAAAATAAAAAAGATGTCACCTAAGCTCATGGAAGAGGGCTGAGGCTACATGCGACAGGAGGGCTCTGGTTTGCACAGAATGCAAAGGAGAGATGCTAACAGTGAGAATGTATCCATGTGCTTTTCCTCTGCTGAGGACAGGGTGCCTTGAAGCACAAGAATCCTGCTGTGCTTGGTGGGGATGTGTCCGGACCAGTGGTTGCAAAATTTTTCACACTGGCCACTTTTCTGTAGAAACAGAAACCAAGTGCCACTGTAAGAGCACAGCTGAGCAGTATTGTGAACGTGTCTGCTCTGGCAAGAGGCATAGACAACTCACGGTGGAACCACAGCATGCGGCCAGCTTCCTGAACGACTTAACATTTGATAGAGCACAAGCAGAACAACGTTTATTCTTTCTCTCACTGCCTCTTCGAACTTTCTCTGTGGACTTCCCTGCTCCTTAAGGAAATCTCAGGCACAAGCTTGCATAGATCAATGGTAGTTTCTCTTGGATAATAAAAAGCCCGGGCTAGTCTAAAATTATACACCCGTCACGGTCTGATGAAAGATCGCAACTCCAATCTCTTGCACAACAGAAGTTTTTCCCTTCACCCAGCTGGGCGTGGAGCCTGTCACAGGGGAGGGGGACATGTTGGGGTCTCTTGCTGTGCTGTATGCCTTCCTCTGCTCAAAGCTGCTGTTTGGGACCCCCCACCCCCACCCCGGGGTTAGGCATGGAGGGGAGAGAGGAGCGCGAATGAGACAGTTGTGGTCTTCCCTTGGTGTTTTCTGAGTATGGCAAATGTCCAAATATGTCTCTTTTTTTGCCTCCCAGGTATATTTTTGGTGGCCTCTGGCTGCAACTCCGTCCTTGTGAGAACTGCCTGTCCTTCTGCTGGTCTTTCACGGCTACCACCAAGCCTGTGACTTCTGGCTATCTGCCCTTCCTTTTATGGTCACAGTACCCTCTGGGGGGCCTTCTTGGGGGAGGCCTCCCATTTGGTCACCAGAAGCATACCTGTGTCCTGATGTCAGAAGAAACCTGGGACCAATGGTGGAGCTTGTGGAGTGACTTTCCAGAAAATCCCCTCTCCCACTTGGCTTAAAGAGAAGGGAAAGCAATCCCTCCTGTCCCCTGGTGACTCTTCCCCTTCCCCCATTTGGCCTGAGCAGCTGCCCGATGGACTGTTGCTGGAGCCAGCTTTACGGTCTCTTTCTCCAGTCCTGTAGAGGCGGTTCAACATGCTGCTTTAGGATGTGGGTGCCTGGCCCCTATGGATTTGTTTCATCTTTAGGGCCTCTGAGATGAGGCCCTAAAGACATAGGAAAGTTCCAGAAAGTTCAGCTTCATATCTTATTGCCAGGAACATCTAAATAATTTGTGGGTCCCAGTACAAAATTAAAAGGCAGGACCCCTTATTCAAAAGGGATTAAGAATTTCAAGATGGCATCAGCAGAGCACGAAGCAAAGCTCCTTCTGAGTGTGGGGTGCCATGTGACTGCACAAGTCACATGCCCATGAAGCCTGTCCTGCCGATGACAGGTGTCTTAAGGTCTAATTATAGCAAAAGCAGAGGTCATAAAAGCTATGAACACCTCAATATTCAAGGTGGGTTTAATTAAACAACACACCCCAAGCCATGCCACTGACGATAAAGGTTCATGTAATTTATCATTAAAAGTCAAGAATATTCACAATTACAAATAAGGGCCATCTCAGGACAAGAGTGATGCCCTGATGAAGTACCCACACCCCAGATTTCAGGGATTCTTGGGATCTACATGTGGCACATTTGAGAGGAGCACTGTTTCATGAGTCAGCAGGATGGGGCCGTCTGACTTCACAGTAGAAAGCTGCTTCAGAATCCTTAATCGACTCTCGCAATGCACGTAATGTTTTTTTATTAATATCAAAGTCAAGAACCAATACCTTAAGGACATGTTTGGCAGGTTACTGATCAGTAGCTCTTCATTCTATACAAGCATTAAGGTTTTTGGAATTTTATACGAACCACCAGTGGGAACTGAAGACGAGGCCGGCATTTTAGGATCATTTTAGGGCTCACCTGGGGGCCCTGATGCCAATTCTCTGCCCTTCCATGCAGGTGGGTGGCTGTCCCTGGCTCCCATCTCCCGCCATGGCTCCCACTAGGCAGATGCGAGGGCTGCCCGCAGCGGGGGAGGCTGGCTTGGTGTGAGCCAGTGCAAGAGGCCTGTGGCAGGAGGAGGGGAGGGGAGGGGAGGGGAGGGGCTGCACCTGCCAAGGAACTCTCCCGCCAGCACAAGGGTGAGGACGGTGTTCTGGAGGGGAGAGAGCCATCCAGCAGCCATCTGAGATGGGGTCCTCCGTGTGCAGGGGACAAAGAAGAACCTGCAGCAGAGGGAGGAGGCGGGTCATCAGGGGGCTGTCCGTGTGTCCACAAAGCCACCCACAAGAGGAAGAGGCAAAGAGCCAGCTCGAAACCCCTGCAAGGCCAGAGAGCTCCAGGTCTTTGGCCAAGCAAGAGCTGTCTGCCCTCCCGCCACTCCTCCCTCCCGCTGCCAAGGCCCTGCTGAGCTGCCTGGACGGGGAGGAGGGGGTAGGAGAGGAGAAGAGAGAAGGCACCAACCACACCCCTTCCTGGACTGCAGGCCTTGGGAGGAAGAGGAGCTATATCTTTGAATGGAGATTAAAATGCTGACCAAAATATTTAACGGGACACTTAAAATGATCAAATTGTCCAGGCACGGCAGCTCATGCCTGTGATCCCACCACTTAGGGAGGCCGAGGTGGTAGGATCACTTGAGGCCAGGACTCAAGACCAACCTGGACAACACAGTAAGATCCCATCTCTACAACAAATTAAAAAATTAGCCGGGTGTGGTGGTGCACACCTGTAATCCCAGCTCTCCAGGAGGCTGAGGCGGGAGGATTACTTGAGCCCAGGAGTCCAGGATGCAGTGAGCTTTGACGGTACCACTGCATTCCAGCCGGGGTGACAGACTGAGACCCTGTCTCCAAATGAAAATAATCAAATGTAGAACATTCGAGACTTAAAGCGATTAATTTAGGACTATTAGCTATATATCAGTAGAAAAAACATGGGCCTGCCTGCGTTTTCATTTGGGGGCAGGGAAGCCTGCTCTTGCTGAAAAATTTTAAAGGGGGTAGTAGGAGATAAAAATAAAGAGGTGGCGTGATTATATCAGACTGAATGCTTATTCAAATATTGGCTACTTTTGAGTCATTGAAACTCTGATTTATTTATAAGGCAGATACAGTTGGTAGTCCTTTTTTGGTATTATCATGGCATTTTCATTCATTCATTCATTCATTTATCCAATAATTGTTAAGCATCTACTTGGGACGAGGTTCTAGGTACTGGACACTCTAGGTGCATACTCGCTATATTCCTCAATGGCTCCCCATTACCATCAGAATAAATTCCAGCTACCACAGCTTGGAGATGGGGCCATTTGTCATCTGAGCCTGGCCTATACCCTGCCAGCTTCACCACACCAGCCAGCGAGGAGCTTTAGGGCAGGGATCCTGTCTTTCATGTGTCTGTCCCCAGCGCCTGGCACACAGTGAGCCCCTCGTTAATGTATGTTGAATAAATAAGTAAATTAGTGAATGTAATTTTTACAGGCTCATATAGTTTCTTTGTAGACTGTGAACTCTAAGATTAGAGCAGCATCTTCATCTTCATGTCCCTAGTGCGGGGCCTGGCACTTGTTTCTAGAATGAGGGGTAAGGAAGCACTGCTCCTTCTGTCTTTTGCATGCCCTGGAGCCCTTATCTTGAAAATGCAGCTGGCTGGACACGGTGGCTCACACCTGTAATCCTAGCACTCTGGGAGTCCGAGGCGGGTGGATTGCTCAAGGTCAGGAGTTCGAAACCAGCCTGAGCGAGACCCCGTCTCTACTAAAAATAGAAAGAAACTAATTGACCAACTAAAAAATATATATATACAAAAAATTAGCCGGGCATGGTGGCGCATGCCTGTAGTCCCAGCTACTCAGGAGGCTGAGGCAGGAGGATTGCTTGAGCCCAGGAGTTTGAGGTTGCTGTGAGCTAGGCTGACGCCATGGCACTCACTCTAGCCTGGGCAACAAAGTGAGACTCTGTCTCAAAAAAAAAAAAGAAAAGAAAAGAAAATGCATCTGACTTTCTGTTAACAACTTAAATGGAAGAGAGCAGAGGCATGGGGAACATCAAAAGAAAGAATATTCTAGAAATCATCAAGTCAGGCCTGTGGCTTCTCATGTGAGCTCTCTCACCTCCTTCATTCCCCTGGGCCCCGATCTGACTCCCCGGAGCCACTGCCTGGCCTTGGATGCCAGCAGAGACAGCCATGGACATGCCCAGTGCCACCGTGGTGCCCACCAGGAATCTCTGCAGCCTGGAAGACTCAGGTCCGGTTTTGCAAGCTCTGCATGCGGGCTGGGTGTGGGACTCACCTTGCAGCAGGCACAGTATGAGGAGGAGGAGCACTTTCCATCCTGCCTTCTGGTTGGCAACCTGCAAAAAACACTGTATGTGAAAAGAGGCCCAAGAGAAACTGGGGTGAGTGACAGTGGGACCTGGGTGGGCACCTTCTCACTCTGGGACCTCAGTTTGCTCAGCACGGGGGCTGGGCTGGATAAACCTGAGAGCAAGACAAGCACTGCCCTCCCCGAGGAAGCATGCCTTCATCCTCACACTCCTAAGCATTGCACACTGGGCCTGGGGCACTCCTGCCAAGGTTAAAATTCCCCTTGCCCTGAGGTTCCTGTGTTCAGAAGAGGTGAGATTCCCTCTGTAGGATTCCAGCCCTGGCACCCGCTCGCCAGCCTGGAGCTTTGAATCTGGGGGGAGCACAGTGCAGGGGAGAGACCGCACGTTGGCAAGTCCAAACCTATTTGGAATTGTGGGACCTTGGAAAGTTAGTCTCGGGGATTCATTTCCTCTCCAGGGGAAGGAGGGAAGCGGGATGGGGTTGCCGCTGCACAGCTTAAGTGGGATTGTGGTACAAGCGCCTGGCGTTATGCCTGGTGACACAGGGCAGTCCCCATCCCCCTTTCTCCTCTCCCCTTCCTCTTTGCAGGAGGGGCCTTGATTCCTTCAAGGGACGCTTTCTGTTTCACTGTTAGTGAGCCTCCCGTCAGTAACTAGGAGTTAAAAATTAAATCTCAGGCCACGTAGATGTCTGCACTTGTGTCCTATTCTGTTTCTTCCCCCACAGCTTCTGGAAAATTCTCCCTGTCCCCAGTCCACGCCACCCTTCCCTTTGCCCTGGTCTCTCCCCCTGGCCTGGGGAGCTCCTTGAGGACAGGACTTTGGGTCTCATCCCTCCCCCTTCAGGGTCTAGCACATTGTGGACGTGCAATGCACAACAGTGTGAACAGAAACCCACTTCTCCTTGAATGGACACCACACTGATCACTACTCAATGGTCTTTTACTGATTGCTAATTAAAAAGAGAGATTGTATATCAAGCTTCTCTTGGGGGATTGCTTTTTGATTGATTAAAAATCTATTCTTTTCATCTATTTACTGCCTGAAGTCCCTGGGACCTATAGATTTTTTTTTTTTTTAAAGAAAGCAAACTGAAGTTAGCCATGGTGTTTCCCTTCCTGTTCTAGTATATATGTCACTAAGATTAAGGACAGGCACTAACAGTCAGTGGTTTGGCCCCTGGGCAGGACACCCCTTGCTCCCCTAACTAGACTAAGCCTCGCAGAGCCACCGGCCAGTTTGGGACGTAGGCAGGAGGGACTCAAAGGGGGAGAAAAGGGAATGGAGGAAAAAAGAAGGCAGAGAGGGTAGGAGAAGGGGGAGAGGGAAGGAAGAGTAGGAGGGGAGAGAGAGCAGAGAGGAGAGGAAGGTCAAGAATCGGTGGGGTGGCCCAGTAGCTGTGAGTCGTCCCAGCAGCTTGGCTCTGCCCAGCCTTTGCTGCTCTATCCAGTGCCAGCCCAAGAGTGGCCAGATTTTGCAAAGCCCACAGGCTTCTCACGCCTCCTCCTGTATCTTTCCTCTCGCCAGTCCCTGTGGGCACTACCGTGGCCACCTCAGCCCTCTCCCTGCCTTCCCGAGCTTCTGGCTGCCTGCCCTCCCCGGCAGTCTCTCCCAGGGTGTGACCCGCGCCTAATCGATAGTTTGATCAACGATCACCAAGTCCACGCTAACTCTGGGGCCGGCACCCAGATTCCCAGTGGATCGATTTTTCTAAAGTGCGAAGTGCTGACGCCCAGCACATGCTGGGGCCAAAGTCTCGGCACACACGCTGCCCGGTTCCTCGGAAGCCCGGCGGGCGGCAATCTCTGGGCTTCGGGAGAAAGAGCCGCCTCCAGGGGCAATGAGGAAGCACAGAGTGTGAGATAAACGGTCTCCAGAAGAGTTATCAGCCTTGATTGGAGGCTGGAAGGACAACTTTCAACGGAAGCTCTCCAAGTCACCCTCCCCTGCCAACGGCTTTCAGAAATCCTCTCTCCAGGCAGAGACAGGGAGCCCTGAGTCCGTAGCTTGGGGGCCGCAGGCCTCGGCTGCAGTGCAGTGCATTTCAGGGCATGCGGCCACCTGGGAGAACTCTCTAGCACCTCTGGTCCTGCCAGGACAGGTGTCCACCCCGTCTTCAGCACGGGCTGGTGTACGACTCCCCAGATTCCCAGCCCCTCCGAGCCCAACTTCTCTCCTACTCCCCCTGTCCCCACCCCACGTCCTGGGCAGCAGACAACAAGGGAAGGGGTCAGTGTGGTTTAGAGGGAAGGACACAGAACCAGAAAGGAGCCAGGAGGGTCTGCTTGGCCTGAGGCTGACACAGTAACCTTGACCCATGCTCCTTTTCCCTCCACTAGAAAAGGAGAGCTTTGCCCGTGTGAACTCCATGTTCCTTCTCTTCCTAGCGTGTCTTCATTCTACACCACCCATGGCTCCTAAGAGCTCATGCGCCCTGGAGGGTGTGAGCAGACGCTGCAGCCTGAACTCCGGGGTCCTTACCTGGCCTCCTGGGAAGGAGCCCACCTGCTCTGGAAAGGACACGCGGGGTCACGTTTGACAGCGGTTGCTGCAACTCACCCCCTGCCACACACACACACGCTCAGAGGCAAGACCCCAAACTCCGGAAGAAAGCCTCATCTCACCTTTCGTTCTCTGGGCTTTTGGTGGGCGTCTCCATCCATCTCAGCCTAGAAATGAGATCCACGGGGACTTTTCTTTTTATCCCTATGAGACGCGGGGGTTTAGATGTCTTCTTGGTGCTCTTCTTTAAACCTGGAGACTGGGAAGTCAATATGGCACATTGCAAAGCAGCTGGAGCTGGCACTAGAAATCGGGGTGCTAGGTATAGCTCTGCCACCTGCCTCAAGTCACTTCTCCCCGGGTGTGAGTACTTACAGGAAGAAGCCAGTGCTAGTCCCTTGTCGTTCCTGCTGTCACTTATTCCTGCAGGACTTTTCCAGGGGTGGTGATGGCAGCTTGAAGGAAAACACACGGATCCACGTCCTCCCTCCTCTCATGGCCTCTCCAGTCCAGGGTCCCAGACTTTTTAGGATGTCCCAGCTCAGCCGGCCCATTCGGGCATCTTCTGGACAAGTGACGCAACAACCTGGGCAGGAAAGAAGGGAAACTTCGAAATTTAGAAGAGGAATTCCCCAGCCGTCTGGCTGGCAGCTGGTGCCCTCCTGCTGACCTTGCCCCTCCAACTACCATGGAAAAGCAATCTGGGCAGTTTGGATCACTAACTTCTGTTCTGCTGCATGGCCTGGTGGTTACTAATTCACGTCCTAGACAAAGCACAATACCGTAAACGAGACGATCTTCAGGGAAGAGAATGCTGACAAGTGTGGATCATGCAGATAGATGACACACTTCAAAAATACCCCAGTATTTCCCTTTGGAAAATAGTTTATGGATGGGTTTTTTTTTTCCTTGTAAAAGATCTGATCTTCCTGCCCTCTGTTGGCCTTAAGCTGACTTTAAAATGGCGGGCACAGCCCAAGCACTCAACAACTAAGGGGTTCAAGGGAATGGGGGTGCAGCAGCCTGTAATTAAGGGTCCTCACCGGGACCTCTAACAGACAATATGGCACCCTTGGGCCAATTAGAAGGGACACCTCTTCCTTAAGAATAGATTCTGCTGGTATGTTGTTGCACAATTTGAACAACCATAGATGGCAACCTGTATTCTTCTTGCATTCTCCCTCCCAGGTTTGAAGACCGGTTAGGGGTAGCAAATGAGTCACTGAAAGCAATGGGAGAGCAAGAGAAACAGCTCTGTGAGATGCTTGGGGTTTGGTTGGGATGAGGCAGTCTGTGCATGCGTGTGTGCTGGTAACCATGTGCACAGCTGAGTGTGCTGCTATTCCAGTACTTGGTAAACAGCTTCAGTCCTAGAACTCTAGATCTTCACCCTCACCTCGAGCCTCCCATATTAGTTAAAATATATCTACAATGTGAACAGCGTCCTCTTAGGATGTAGCATCCTTGAGCAGTGCACAACCTGAAGAACCATACATGGTGGCCCTGCCTTCAGAGGTTCGTCCCCAGAATTGAGTGATCCTCGTGCAGGTGGCAGAGAGGTGGCTAATGCCTGGCTATAGATTCTCCCCTCCCAGCTCCTCGGGGAGCAATATAACATCATGTTTGATCACATAGATTCTGGAGTCAGGCTGTCCTTCCATTAAGTTAATATCCACTACTCTACTTTTTACAAGGAAAGTGATATGGGTCAGATTATCTGTTCTCTTTAAACCTTGGTTTCCTAATCTGTTATACAGGAGATAATAGCACCTGCCTTATAAAGTTATTAAGTGGATTAAATGCAATAATCTATGTAACTCAAAGTGCCTACATGCCATTAATTCTCAGTAAACATCAGCTAATAATATAATTAGCTCAGCACATAGCAACAGGGAGGTGTCCTAAATGATCAAACCCTCAAAAAAAAAAACCATTGAGTGTTTTTATCTATTCAGGGATCTTTCTTTCTTTCTTTCTTTTCTTTCTTCTTTCTTTCTTTCTTTCTTTCTTTCTTTCTTTCTTTCTCTCTTTCTTTCTTCTTTCTCCTTCCTTCCTTCTTCTTCCTCTCTCTTCTTCCTTCCTTCTTCCTTCTTTCTTTTTCTTCTCTTCTTTCTTTCTTTCTTCTGTCTTCTTCCTTTGTCTTCCTTTCTGTCTTTTCTCTCTCTTCTTTCCCTTTCTTTCTTCCCATCATTTTGACACTTGAAGATTAAAAATAAACCCATTTTGTCTAAGAACACTTCTGAATTAAATTTGTATTTTCAAGTAAATATTTGTCAAATTTTCATCGTTTTATAAACACAGCAGTCCCTTGCATCCTTGAGGGTATGTTATTCTATTTTTATCTACTTTTGAACACTTTGCAGACTTTTCCATACTTACAGACATAAATCATAGCGAAGTACACTGAGCCGTAACACACTGGGGCCGGCTTCTGGACCACTGACCTAGAGCCATGATGTTCCCTCTCTGAAGCTTTATGGGGAAGAAAAGCTCCACACTGGCTATTTCTCTTGGAGGTATACCTGAATTTTCTTGCCCAGCTCATAGCCACAGGGGGGCTCTTCTACATTGATTTATGACACTGTAACTGGATTTTTGGTCCCAGACTGCAGAATCAGGCTAAATAATACATTGAACAAATGTCAAAATCGGGGAAGAGCTTTATCCACTCCATGCACCACCCTAATTCCCCAATCCCAGTTTTAACAAAGGACTTTATCTGCCAAACACACATGAGGGTGAAAATCAGCAAACAGAAAGCCAACCAAAACAAGGAAAGCTACTTGTGCCATAAAACAATCCACATTGATTTCCTCCCTCTCCTAAACGTGTTTTCTAACGTACAAGGAAGGGCAGTGGACAGAGGTGCTTTCTGTTCCCAGGTGGCTCGCCCGATCGTTTCTTCTTCCTTGGTAGTCAAGGTTCAACCTCCTGCCTTATGCATTATTGCAGGGTTTTTTTTTGTTGTTCACTGTGCCCACTTTGTAAGCCTTTTCTGGCCTTGTCATCTGCTGGGGAGGCACATTGTCTCTCCCCAATCTCAGGCCAGAATACTACGTATTGAAAAAAATCATTGCCTAAAAACACCTGCATTACTCCAAGTCCTTGATCACTTTCTTAGAAATTCACCAAGGAAGGTGAACTATGAGACTTGCCACTCCTCCAAATGGCAACAAAGAAAATATCTGTATAGCACAAATAATCATTTTATAATGGCATTTAGCAGGCTTTTATGACCTCAACCACCATTTACCTGATAGCAAAGCTTACAAAGCTCAATCCGCAAACACAGAAGGCATTTCAAAGGCAGTTGGTTAAGTGCCAAGAAGGTTTAAGTTCATGTACAGGTTGCTGGTGAAAGCACAGGGTGGAGAATCCCAGGAGATCCTTGCACAGATGGGAGCTGAGACCTTAGCTGTAGCCCGTGTCAGGATGTGGGTAGGAAGACATGATCAGCAGCCCTTGGCATAATCTTTCTAGAGTGAGTTGGGTCTGGCGTTTGAAAGAAATGTTTCTTATGGGTTGGGGTTATTTGGTTAAGAGACTATTTGGAATAAACATTATCCTATGACAATGAATCACAGGCCCTTGCAGGATGGAAGGAGCCCGAAAGAGTTGGCCTGCTACCGATGAGGTTGTTGGCCTCCTTGAGGAACAGTGCCATACGGGAGGCTCCACGTCGGTCTCTGTTGCTGGAAGGTTGGACGTTTCACAGCAACAGTAGCTCACTCAGCCCTGGTCAGTGGGGCCTATGCTGTTTTCTGAGGCGCATGCATAGCCTCTGACTGTGTGCCTTCCTTCATGTGTCCTTTGTGTCAGCACCAGGGTAGCCGATGACTGAAGTCGGCTGATGTCAGATGGCCAAGCCATTCTGCCTGCCGGGCAGTCAGTGCCCCTCCCGTGGTTCTCTCCAGCGGGTGTTAGCATATGACCCAGAGAGCTTCGCACTTGATGCCTGCTCCTCTGTCCACCCACACGCCTCTGCCCGTATCCTTCACCGTTTGCCCATCCGGGCCTCTGTGTGTATCTAACATCAGGCTCCGGCTGACACCGTGACTGGCGCCTTGCAGAAGACCCAGCTAAGGTGAGCCAGGACTCTTGACCAAAGGAAATCAAGAGATAACATGTGTTGTTTTGAGCTGCCGACTGTTTGGTGGCGTTGGCATGCACCGATGGGCAGCCAGTGTGAGTGTACACTGTGAGTACATCGGTTTCCTAGGGCTGGTGCATTTCAACCCATAACAGGAATTGTTTTTTCAGCATATTATGGGGGTACAAATGTTAAGGTTACGTATATTGCCCATGCCACCCACACTCGAGTCAGAGCTTCCAGTGTGTCTTTACCCCAGTTGGTGTGCATTGTACTCATTATGTATGTATATACCCATCCCCTCCCCCCCACCTGCCCGACACCCGATGAATGTTATTCCTCTATGTCCACTTAGGTGTTGATCAGTTAATACCAATTTGCTGGTGAGTACATGTGGTGCTTGTTTTTCCATTCTTGGGACACTTCACTTAGTAGAATGGGTTCCAGCTCTATCCAGGAAAATACAAGAGGTGCCATATCACCATTGCTTCTTATAGCTTAGTAGCACTCCATGGTATACATATACCACATTTTATTAATCCACTCATGTATTGATGGGCACTTCAGTTGTTTCCACATCTTTGCAATTGTGAATTGTGCTGCTATAAACATTCAAGTGCAGGTGTCTTTTTCATACAGTGACTTTAGTTCTTTTGGGTAGATGCCCAGTAATGGGATTGCTGGATCAAATGGTAGATCCACTTGTATCACTTTAAGGTATCTCCATATTGCTTTCCACAGAGGTTGCACTAGTTTGCAGTCCCACTAGCAGTGTAGGAGTGTTCCTCTCTCTCCGAATCCATGCCAACATTTATTGTTTTGGGACTTGTTGATAAAGGCCATTCTCACTACTGACCATTGAAGTGTCATCTGGAAAACACTCTTTATGGGCTAGCTGAGCATATATCTAAGCAGCCTGCACATTCAGAGCAAGGACTAGTGTCTTTGCAGATGAGGACATCAGAAATTGCTGGTGGAGTGGACCTTTCCCTTCTCTCCAGGAGCTGCTTGAAATTCTCGAACAAAAATCTAGTTTCCCAAGCTGAGAGGGTCCCCACCCTGAGGATAGCTTCTCCCACAGATGCCAGGAAAGGTTGTGTGGCCCGCCCAGGGCCTGAGATGGACAAGATGATGCTTGCAGTCTAAGTCCCTCATTCTAAGGTACCTGGCTCCATTCGTCTGGTCCTATATATTTGGAGCCCTGTCCCAGGTTAATGAATGAGCCACTTTCTCTGTCACAGATACTGGCAGGACCAGCAAGCTGCTGTACTTTTTCAACTGTGGGCAGCTACTGCCACCTTGTGCCAGAAACACTCCATGGCTAGAGGGACCGGGAGCCACCGGTTCAGACCAGAACACTATGGGGTAAAACGCGCACTTCCACTAATTGTGTTAGGGCAGCTGGTGTAAAGAGGGACTGTCCCAGGCGAGAATATGGCCACCTTTGGGGAGAGCCAGGGAACAAGAAGGTGTGTAAGGATCTTCCCAAGGAAAAT